CGTTTTAGGGTTTTGGGCAATTCTAATTAAGTGATAGAGCCGCCACAAACCCTAGATAGAACTCTCAGACGTCCTAGACACTTTCTAGAGCTTTGGAGAAGCTTTCTCTTGAGTTCTAGTGATCGGAATATCGATTCCAAGTCTAGGACATCGTTTTCTCTTCATAAATCCTAGCAGATACGTTCCAAACTGTTGGAATTCATCCCGTCGGTGTGGATACGTGTAGAGGGGTTGTACTTTCAACTCTTGGTGATTAAAACAGGCCCTGGATCGATTGATATTTCCAGATCTTGAAAGAACGAGGTAAGTATTCGAATCCCACGACGATATACACGATTGTTCGGGTTATTGCACAATTGGTTTTGTGTGACGTTTGGCTAGGTTTAGATCTTTCCTTCCGCTGCGTGAAACCTAGAATCCAAACCCTAGATCGATGAGATCCCATGCTAGGAACCCGAAGGGAACCCAACACCACATGCTTGACACTTGCCTTGGTAGCCTCGCGGAGAAGGTTGTCCCGATCGATTCCATGGCTGTCCTCGAGAGTGTCCTTGGCCACGGTAGGAGTTTCGGCCTCTCGAATGTGCAACATTAGCTGTGACGGGGAAGGGTGACATCTGGTGGTTTTGATTCACAGCAAGTTTGGCCTCATGTTGAAGAAGTTTCTCATGAAACTCTTCAACGGAAATCGCGATATCTTTGGCTTGGATCACATCGATGACAGGCTTGTAGTCTTCGGATAGGCCATTGATAATGGCGTCAAGGACGTCTTCATGATCGAGTGGCTTGCCGAGAATAGCCAATTCGTCCGCCTTGGTGGTAACGAAGCGAATATACTCGTCCATCGATTGTGTGCCTTTCACACATTGCTTGATTTGCTCACGAAGTTGAAGGAGATGTCCCCTTGATGCTTTGCCATAAATATTGGCAATGGTCTTCCACGCTTCACGAGTTGAGGGTGCTCGAGCAATGACGGGTTGCAGATTCAAAGATATTGTGCCTAGGATGGCACTGAACAAGAGACGGTCTTGCTGTTTGAAGTCGGCGAAGGCTGGGTTGTCTACAAGCGTTCCGGCATTGTCGATCTTAGCCGGAGGGACGGTGGTGTCGTCCGTGATGAAGCAATCTAATTTGTGGCCTTCAAGGAGAGCACGGATCTGTAGGCTCCAGGTGATGTAGTTGGTCGAAATCAGTTTCGTTATATTCGTCATGTTGACGGTAAGTAGGGTTTTGGTTGGCTCACGGACATCGAAGATCGTAGCGGCAGTGTCAGGAGCATTGGTGTTGGTATTGGTCGCCATGAGAGAGAGCTTGTGTATGGTTGAGTGTCTGGATCAGACCTCGTCTGTGTGAAGAAGAGTTGAATCGAAAAAAAAAACGGCTAGGGGTTTTCTTTGTCTTCAGACTAGGGCTCTTGATACCATGAAGGAGAGAATGAAATCGCACACTTTATTATCCACTGATTGTACACTTATATAGATACATAGAGAATAACTAATGGAGAGATTTACGATCGAGTCACTAAAATTAGTTTTAAATATTCAAAATAATTTATAAAAGATGGATTAGAATTAATAGTAATTTTCTGTGTCAAATTCCTGTGGAACAAAATTATGAAAGTTTTAGATCATATGTTATATATATATTCACAAGAGCAGTCTAACGTAGTTTGAAAAACACGTAACACACATAAGTAAGGATAAATTAAAATATTTTAAAAAAATGTTAAAGTCATTTTTGAGTAGTTGAAGAAATCCAGAGGTCTTACAATGATTTCGATTGATGAATAAGAATCATATTCTTTAATTTGATAATATCAGTACACATTTTAAATCAAATGAACTCTAAAAAAAATCGAGCCTTATAATTTGAAAATATCATATAATTATGTAAAAAAAAAAATACGATTCATCATGTTTCTTTATCACTTACTTCCTCATGTAATCATTATTATGATATAATCCAATTTATAGTTCGTGATTGATTGGTAATATTATTGGTTCGGTAGTATGTTTGAGTTTAATATATTAAAATGTCATTATAAAATAATTGTTATCCAAGCAATAAAAAAACCCTAATTTAATAAAGATCTAATAAATTTGTCTAAAAGGGATATACCAAAGATAATATGTATAGTTTAGCATTTAATGTTATGTAGTAGAGTATGGTTTTGTGAACATTGTTTTCAATTCACGGATAGTTAGTTTTTTTTCCTTCTATAAACGTTTAAATCCAATGTTATGAATAATTCTATTAAAAAAAATTAAATACCGTATTTAGAGTGGAAAGAAACAAAGACGTTATAAGATATTGTTGCGTTTTGGTTAAAAACATTGTTTTTAGGATTCTTTAACATCACTGTAAAATGTAATTATTTTTTATAATGAAGAATAATTGAATCATGTTGTTTTTATTTGAATCAATAATTTTTTTGCTCAGCAATGGAATTTTTACCGACGATACAACGAAACAAATTTAATGCATCCATGCAAATATATTCCCTATATATTTTACAAAAAAAAAAAAAACTCCATTCAATTCAAGCCATGACAAATAAGAATGGCGGGTTTATAAAATGTCATTTATGGATTAGAATAAAAATGTAAATGTTACGTTATTAGACATTCTTCTTTCGTGGGGCCAAATATGGATTGGACATATTATAAAAAGTTAAAAACCACTTCCACATATAAGTGGGATTTGAATAATTGCTAACTGAATATCGACTTTTCACCCACTTTCATGTATACGTTGGGTTTCGGGTTCACACTTCATTAAAAAAAACTATTATTAAAAAAAAAACTGTTTTAATCGTTAAATCGATTTCGAATTTGGATTTTGGTTGCAGGGATGGGCTTAGCACAAGATCCCTTAAAATCATATATATATATATATATATATATATATATATATATTGATGCCATCTTATATTGCGGTTGAAATCATATGGAGGTTGAATACCTCAGCATGGGAGAGAATTGTCATGATCATTTGTTTAGATTTTGGGTGGAATTATATCAATACCCCTTATATAAAGAGGGAAAATACCACGTGTAATTCCATATATATTATATTCAATTATCTATGTTATAAATAAGGATATTTTAGATAAATATTACTTCTTTTTTAATTTGTGTGTAGAATTTTTAAACATCATTTAAAATGAAACGGCGGAAGTAATTGCTATCTTCTTCTAACGAAAATAATAATAATTGTTATCTCCATATTTTCCATCTGTTGTAAATAAAAGTGATCATAATAAAAAAATATGATGCCACGTGTTACACCGTCCTTACGTGTCTGCCAGCTCAGCCCGATGATCTTCCCTTCCGTAAGGACTAAGGACCAAAAAGAAGGAAACTTGGATTTCTCTGATCTTAATCGTTTCTGTTTTCTGTGAAAATCCCCATTCTTCGATTCTTAAAAACCTAATCGATCCGTGTCAGGGTTTTCATTTCGCTTCGATGGCGTCCAGTTCTAACAGAGGCGGTGCCAGCGGCTCCTTTCACGGCGATGCTGCTCCGTACAGGTCTCGGTATGATTCGATTTACTGATTGCTCTTTGGAATTTTTTTGTGATTGATTCCTCGGATTGGTTATATTGATAATACCCATGAATTCAAAGGGCGAAAGTTGTGTTTTTTTTTAATCGTTAAATCGATTTCGAATTTGGATTTTGGTTGCAGGGATGGGCTTAGCACAAGATCCCGTGGGAAATTCTGACGAAATCCAGCTTCGGATTGATCCGATGCACTGTGATATGGATGATGAGATCACAGGTCTCCAGGGCCAAGCCAAATAGTTGAAATTTGTAAGAACCCTTAAAATCTTTTCCACGTTCTTTCTTCGTCTTAGGACAGAGCATTCCCACGAATTAGGAAACAGTGATGGACGAATAGCGTTTAATTATGTTCCATATGTGTTGAAGGTCTCTGACAAGTAATTGAAAACTGTGATAGGACGAATAGCGATTACCTTCTCTGGTCACATGCAAGAAATGAGACATAAAGTTTTGAACTTTGATATGTCGTCTTTTGGAAATGGTTTATGCCCACCGAATGTTCTTGAAGGTATATTACTCTAGATTTTCCTTGTCTTTTTAGCTGAAGATTAATTTCTTAATGTTTCCTGATGATTTTGATTTTTTTTTTTTGGTGTTTCGACATTCAAATCCTTTCCATTGGTTATTTATTCCGCAGTTGATCATGCAGATTGCTCAAGAAATCGGGACAGAGGCGAGATCTCAGAGGGACTTCTTGGATGAACTGGCGAGTTCTCACATTCCTGGTTGTTTTGGGACAATAGAGTTGGGTTTCCATCTGCAGTTCTTTGGATGGTTTCGGTCATGGAAACTCAATGGTTTTGGTTTATGTTAAGAGAATTAGGATTTAGGGTTAGGAAATGAATTTCAAACCTTGATGATGCCACCCATCTCGACAAGGTATATTATTTGCCGTTTTCCGTCTAGATTTCATCCTCTAGGGTTGTCATTAAGAACATTCTTTTCGCAACATTTAACCAAAAAAACACAGAAGAGATCGATTCAATGGTGGTTAATTGTTGTTGGTGAAAGCAAATGACATTGATGAGAGCTCAAGTGGGAGTGAAGAACAACATAAGGAAACTGAACAAGAGCATCATCAGTAGCGGCGACAGCCATGTCTTTCATGTTCTTCTTTTTGCCATCCTCTGCTTCTTCTTCCTCTAAGTTTGGTCCAAAATGTTCAAAAGGTAAAAGGTAAAAAGAAGAAGGAAGAAAGCAAGAATACTGTAAAGATTTCCTCTACAACTGTTCTTTACTGATACATATATGTATCTATCTATCTATATATATGTGTGTATATATGTTCATCAGTTGGTGTTTAAGACTTGAGTGTTTTGATGGGTTGTGTCCAGCAAGCAGGCAAGAGTTTGAATCAACGACTTCGGGTTGAACGCCACTCCGTGTTTCGGGTCCCCGACGGATTCCACGACTCTCTGCAGAAGACGCAAAACCGTGTGAGTGAAACTAACGTTACCCGAAACAACGATGAATCGACAATTCTTACGATGTCTGTGATTCCTTGTTCAGACAACCGGTCGAGATCCACGGGGATTTCCCCGTCTCTCGGGACCAAGAGAGTGTTGATGTAGTGTCCAGGCTGCAGAGATATAGAGAGATGATGGTTTGAGATATCGGGTTGTCGAAAAGTCGGGAACTTTTCTTGATAATGTTCAATCTGATGACGAGATGTTTACTCACGGGGTTATTGAGTCGAATGTTCGGATCTCCATGTGCTCGGTTAAGAGCGTCTGTAATGGCGGACACAAAGCAAGAGGCTGTAAATCCGCTTGTTTCACGGTCATGCGTACCGTTCAGCAGAAGCACCTACAAGTAGTAAGAATCCGAAAACCGAATTGGTATCAGGTAGGCCTTGGGAGAGAAATCAAGAAGGGGATTAGATTTTCGGATTTGGTTCGGGTTACCTTACGACATGACCTGGAAGAGATAATCTCCCCGATACCGAGCAGCACCTGAGAAACACGAGAATACCCGAATCAAGAGACGAGAGAGAGGAGCCACAGAAGAGATAAATCCATAACGAACATTACTTACCAGTGAGGGGCAGATGGAAGTGAAAAGGGATCCCATTGCATAGACAATGCAATCCACACTTCTCAACTGCTCCAGTACTGTCGGGTTAACTGGCGGGAACACCTGCTCAAACACCGTATCATCCGTGAATACCGTATACGTATAAAGGCCGTATATACCCTCGCCAATACGAGAGCTTTTCACCTCGTGCAACAGATTGTTGCCTTCACTTGACATGTAGAATACTCTCTTTATACTCGAGAGAAGCGCAGGAGAAGAGCCATGACTCTACAGAGAAGAACGAGAAAATCTTATCGGTTTTTGCATATCGTATAATAGGATGCGAGATCTACGTTTATATCACCGTAAAAAGATCGGTAGCAAATGTTAAAGGCTAGCATACCTTGTCCACGGATTGCGTATTTCCGTTGGTTGGATGCGAGATTTCGTTCTGCCCTCGTATTATGGTTCCGTCCTGCACGTAAATATCGCACTCGTAAGTTCGTAAATCCATCTGAAACTCGAAATATCAAGAAATCCAACAGCAGAAGCATCGGATGGTATAAGCCGTATTTATCGAAGATTTATGCAGCAGTTTCGGTACCCATAATTCGCAGCCTAAGGTGAGCCGGTCGTTGGTTGAAATAACGGGCAGGACCAAACTATCGCAAGGAATCTCCGAAACCCGAGAGAACAGAAACACCGCAGCGTCCAAAGACTGGAAAAATATCCGTGCTCCCGCAAAGAAGAAGTTACCGATACTGCACGGAAAGATATTTACTACAGTAAGTCGGCTAACCAGGCAAGAAAACTGTATCGGGTTTTCGAAACAGAGGATCCGAAACAAGACAACAGTTTTAGGACGAGTTCCGTGTTCCGAAACCTCGGGGGAAAACCCTAAACCCTGTAAATGACTGTGTATACCTGCCATTACTGAAGCAAAATGACTCGTTATGCCGTCTGAGAATCTGTATCATGTAATGGCAAAACTATAACGGACCCGGAAGAAGGAGCTGAGTAAAAAGATCAAAGACCGATACGAGATTTTGGACAAGATATGCTGTCGTTATCGGTTACGTTACCTCGTTCTGAAAGTAGACTAAGAAGGCTCGGATCGTCTCTCTATAGGGTCTCGATACACCGTCCCACAGAGAATGATTGCCTTCAACAATATCATACCTGTGACAAAGTTCACCATAGTAAACACCTTAGAGATGATTCAGTATAACCAGAAAGCAAGAAAGAGGAGTAAATGTAAAGGAGCGGGACTTGAATCGATTGCCAAAACTAAAACTATGAACCGATCCACGATATTCCGCTACCCTTTTCGATATTTGGTATCGTCGAGCTTATGACTTAACCATCTTATCCATAGAAAACTCGGAAAGAATTTACACAGAATGAGGATACAGTGTAAACATGTTTAACATCTGAAACAAGTGCCTGAAACAAGAATGTTCAAGAAGCAGAGCTGATGGATAGATTACCAATCATGTTTTGCCTTATGAGGATCTAAAGGTAAGCGATGGCCGAGCAAGCGTTTGACAGCAAGAGCCTCGGAAGTACTTTCGTCAGACAACCTTAAACACCTCGAGCGTATGTCCCCGACTGCCGGGCCACCTATAATTTTCTTACAATCAGTGAACAAGCTTATGAAGGACTACCACTAGATGGTATAACCGGATAATTCTAGGTTGCAACTCATCACAGTGACGCAGAAAATCGAACAGGAGACACCATTTCGAGCAGTAAGTTCAGAAAGTTTCTTTCTCTTTTTTTTTTGGTAGCATTTGGGAGATTAAAAAGAAAAGATATCTTGGCTTGCGGCCATTGTTGTGAAACTCTCAGAGCTTACCAAGAACACGAACAATCTCAGCAGTACTTCCTCCATCATCAGAGACAGGAAGGACATGAGAAACACGAGTTGTTAGCTTCTTCATCTCTTCAACTACACCATTGAATCCTGTTCCACCTTCATCACAGTCAATGTACGGAAACAAACGTATCAGAATCTCTTCCAGAAGAAAAATTATTACCGAACAACCATGGCTTACAACAAGAAGGATAAGATCGATCCAAACGCATAAAGAAGCCTAAAGATTTCACATTTGGAACGCAATGACGAACAGTTCATCATGATAGTTAAATATTCCAGAAAATCACTCCCTCCATAACCAGATTGGGGGGAAATAATTGAAAGAAGAAGAATTTCGGTCAAGATCTGACAGAAATTGAAGATCTTTCACATCAAACAACTCCCTAGTGACAAATTCAAGAAGACCCAGAAAGAGAAACAACCAAAAAGAGGGGGAAATCCAATCGAGAAAAGCAGCTTCTGAATCACCTGAGAAAACGAGAAGAGACGGCGGTTCCGCGGCCATGGGAGAGGAAGCAAAGGATTTGGAAGAGAAACAATGGGAGACGAACTTGGAACTGCGGAAGAGAAGAGGAGGAGAGTTATATAGGAGAATACCACCGCAAGTCTCTGCCATTACCGAACTCTAACCGAGTTCTCCAGATTTTCGCTTTCCACAAAACAATGTTACCAAAAAAAAAATTGAAAAAAAAGGCGAAATTTTTACGCACCAGAAGAAGCATGTCACTCACTCTGTTGTCGATTTGTTGTGTAGCGTTTTATATCTACCTCGGATATGCAAGTTTTTATATTAAAGTAATTTAATTATGGTAATTCACTTATTAGTTACCATAAATATTATATTTTTTTATTGGATTTATGTTGTTATATATAAACTGGAAAATAAAGACTAAAATGAATTTAAGTAAATAAAGAGAAAAAAATTCAAAACGAATAAAGATAATACCACTGCAAAATGTGGTGATATTACTTGATCAACATAGAATTCGATTCAAATATTGAATATATAAAATAAATTCTGATATATTTGTAGATAAAGAAATTTGCATTTAATCAGATATATTATAATTAAAGTGGAAAAGAAGGAAAAAAATGAAAAATCAAACAAATATTACCAAAAATAAAAAATAAATTAGGGTCTTGAAATGTCTCGTTGACCAAAATCCTGAGAACCGGAATTAATAAAAAAATGCAAAAAACGATTTCTTCTTAAAAAAATAAAATAATAAATACTAAATATTCCCTAAAAATTAAAATAAAGTGAAAAAAAAAACTCATCCTAAACTATCACCCACTCAAACTCCGAAGCTTCTTCTTCAGACACAGCATTTGAAGTGTCTATTTCTTCTGCTTTGGCATCGTCCTCATCTTTGCTTTCTAAGATGAAACAATCCGCATCTTCTTTTGACAGTGACAGTGACAGTGACGGTGACGGTGACGGTGATGGTGATGATGCATCATCAAGATATTCATCTCTATTCTTCCACGTCTCAATAAATTGTCTCAGCCAGGCAACTTCTTCCTCTTCAAAGTCATACCAGATATCTTCATCTGATGACTCTTCGTCCAGTTCTGGCATTGATGATTGGCCCTCTTCTGACATGCCCATGTCTCCGTCCAAGGATGATGATGACGACTCTGTATCTTTGCCGTAAAGTAATCGCATCTTCAACTTCTTGATTGCTTCTTCTCTCTTCCTCATCACCTCAACATGTTCTTCTTCTTCACCTTCCAAGATCAAGCCAACGTCCTCGTACCCTTCAACTGTTTCCTCCTCAGATCCATCATCATCATCTTCAATATCTGATGTTTCATCCTCCTCTGATGTTCCATCACCAACAACAAGTGGAATATCTAAGCTATTGCCATTGCGGTGAACAACTTCTTCCCTACGGGAGACATTAGTATCGGATGTTATTTTGTCCACATGAAAAGGACCGACGAGTAGTTTTTCGACTTCGGCTGCGAGACCCGGATGCCCTTTCGACCTCAAACACGATGCCACAGCCATCACAAAGCTTTTCTGCGGGAAAACACACACAAAAAGATTCAGACAACATGAAAGGCCCAGAAGTAGCATCTTCTATTTGACCTTCTGATTCACCACGTTTCAGTTTCAAGGCCTTTTAAATTCCAAGGAAATATTATAACTAATGGTTTAATTATACGATGGATCAAAATGGAAATAACGATCCAGAAAAGAAGTGAACATCTTTTGTACTTACAAAGTCTTCTTCAGTGTGGTGAAGAAACCAAGCACATATATATTTCGTCGCAACGTCCATCTCATTAAGCTTTTTGCTATCATCAACATCAGATTTGGAAGTTTCATGGCCCAGATTTTCCTTTTTCACTTGAACAATACCATTCAGAGTTTCTGCAAGTACAAAGTATTGTTACTTGCTCGTCAAGGAACCAAGAGAGGAAAAAAAGAAAGGAAATTTGCCGGAAAAAAAAAGAAAGCTCATGCTAAACCCATTTGATGAGATTAAACAGAAAGTTACAAAGACTGTCTAATACTCACCAGATTTTTCTTTGATCTCTGAAGCATGTTTGTCATCCTCATAGGAATGTTCAGAGGGATTGGGGATCTCGTCGATAAGATCTGACCAGAGTTCCTTAACATTAGCACAAAAACCTTCAACATTCTGCCAAAAAGAAAAACGGAAACAAAGAAGTGTTTAGACGATGAGAAGTAAGTTTATCAGACACTTCTTTGGAAAATACCGATCCTGAATGTAGTAGACAAGAATCTGAAACTGAAACTGGATATAGATTATTGTCCTAGACATGATCTGAGCTGGGGATTTATCTTCAGTTTTATAAACTCCTACTCTGCTCAACTCAGTCATGCCAAGAAAAAAATTGGCAGCCATGAAAATTTCTAGCAGATCACAAAGAACCGGGTTGATGCTAACATGGCTTAGATATACTGTCCAGCGTTGGGCATCAAAATTGTTGTGTCAAATAGAACTATTTAAAAGAGGAATGCAGATATCAAATACCTTATGAATAGTCTGGTCAGCCTTAACGATTGCTGAATCAATTGTATCCACTAAAGTATCGAACCAGTTGCCGGTACCTTCTCCACCTTCCATGGCTTCCACTAGACTGTGATCTGAACAAATTGTACAGAATAGTATGAAAAACAATTCGGGTTTAGAGCCAAGAGACAGAGTCTACATCGCGAAATAAACAAGGCGTTAACGATCTAACCGAGAACCAAAAACTAGGGTTTCAGAGTTATCACCGTTGGTCTTAAACGGAATTGATTTCCTACTGATTATGTAATTCCTTAAACCCTTACAAATCAAAACCATAATAGCAGTAAAGTTTCCATGGCGAGGCTAAGGAATCACCCAGAAAAGGCTTTCCCCTTGTCTCGCGCTACTTTTCTAGGCAGCCAAACAGAGATTTCGAAACCCTAATCGGAGCTAAAACGATGAACTCGCGTATTAAAACCCGTATGATCGATAAATTCAACATGCAAGACGAAGATGTACGGGAAAACCCCATGAAACCATAGAGATTATGATCTTCGAAAACTTACAAAATTACGAAAATCTTCTTTGCGCAGAAACCAAAAATCGCAGAGAAAATCGAGAACTGTGAGCGGTGAGTGAAGACAGAGTCTGGATTTACAGAGGAGAAAACGCTGAATTTTAATACAAAACCCAAAGGAGAGTTAAATTTTTTATCGGACAATTAAGTCCCCACAGATTAAGATAAATAAAGGAAAACATGGGAAGGGCAAATATGTCAAATCATGCAACAGACACTCCTGTGGAATTGGGAGTTTATTTAGACTTTATTTCGTAATAATTTCCATTTTTGGAACATCTTGTTTTTACTTTGGAATACCTTCTTTTTACCATATTTCCATGTCTAATATAATGTTATTTTCAGCTCAAGCAGAAAATTAATTTATCAATAATAAAACACAACTCAAATTAATTAAAAATATATTTTCTTATCTCGACTCTTTATTAATTTATCAGAACGCACCTGACTACTATATCTTGGTCTTGTGTGATCGAATTGTTTATAAATTTTACTGGTACATTCCGGTTAACGTCCGGTTTGATTACAATTGTGGTTTATTTATTTATCATCACGCTACCTAATATACTAGTGCCTTGTGCCTCAAGGAAGCTAGAACAAGCGTCAGGTATTAAGTTTGCTTGATGCAAATCTTACTTGTATTTTTCTTTGATCTTTCTCCAATCAAACAAACATTTTGCTTTGAGTTATGGAAATTACATTAAAAAAAAACTAAGTGGAAATGCATTTGCTTTCGATCAAAACGTAAAGATTGAATTTTTTTTTTGGTAATGAGAATATTTAATAAGAGCGTTCTGAATTTAAAGATTTAGGATTAAGGGATAAATGTTTCATAGCCAAATAGTTATAAATTTATTTTTCCTTATAATTCTCAACGTGAAAAATAAATTTGGAAATATATGAAAGTAGTTTGTTTTCTAAACTTGTTCCTCGATATTTCTATTGTCCGACTTTTGTCTGCTTGTTTCCGAGCCAACTTATGATAAGTTATATTAAAAAAACCTTCATTAATTATATTTTTCTTGTGGAAAGTGGACATTTTTATTTAATCACATGACGATTCTTAAGATATCTTAGTGATGAGCTTTAATATCTTTTTTAAATTGGGCACTCCGACCAACTTCCCCATATCAATATATCAAATTCAATAACTTAAAAATAAATGCCAACCAAATTTCACCTATACATACACATATATTAGAGAGAAAATAAATAAGATAAAAAACTTTCTTTGTTTCTTTTCCCCATCCGTGTCTAGGGTCTTGACGATGACATACAGACTTTATTGGAATATATCATAGATTATTTATATAAAAGTTATAAAATTACCATGCAGTTTCTTATAATATATAGGCGCATTTGTTTGGGAGTTGCAATACAATTTCCTAATCTTTAGGAAATTGTAGAATAACTTAGAAGAATTATCTCACGTAATGATTTGATCAATATATATATTCACCTTACTCAATAAGCTTATACTTGAAAATGATTTGGTCAGAACACTAATTAATTATAACTGTGGTTCTAAATAACAAGTTGGGATATTTAAAGCTTGACTTGCACGTAGCTGCCATGCAATTTCTTGAGCTACGTTCGTACGCAAGGTTCGTCACGTAGAAGCAAGTTGAAATGTCAAAAAATCTATAAATTTTAAAATGTTTTCTCATGGACCATCACCATGAGAGAAACGTATTTTATATATATATATAAAGCTTCTAACTGCGTTTGCTAGTTCAGAAAGGAATCAACGGTTTTATGAGCTGAAGAACATGACGAATGTGAGTAAAACTTCTCTTAATTCTCTCTCGTATTTGATGATGTGCATGTATGTATATGATCATATATATACGCTTGGAAAAAGACGAGTTTTGTAACGAATATTTACGTTTTTCGTACTCTCAGATAGTCGAGTTAGATGTTCACATAGACTGTGAAGGTTGCGAAAACCGGGTCAGGAGAACTCTTCAGAAGCTGAAAGGTATATATATTTATGTTTATATTTTGCTGCCTTAAACTTGTTATCATGATGCACCATACATACATGATAACTTGTTATCATGATGCACCATACATAAGATACGTTAAATATGACATACATATAACCTTAGAACACACACTCATTCTCTTTACAGTCCATTTTAAAAAATAACTATAATTTACAAAGCCAACTTTTTTCCCGTACATTTTTCAAATGAATTTTTTTTTTGTAAAAAAGTAACATTTTGCAAACTATACACACACATATATATATATATATATATATATATATATATATGGATATTAACGTGATGAACAGGGGTGCAAGATGTGCAAATAGACATGAAGCTTCAGAAAGTGACGGTAACGGGTTGGGCGGAAGAGAAGAAGGTTCTAAAAGCTGCGAGGAAGACGGGAAGAAGAGCGACGTTATGGCAGTATCCGTATAACCCCGAATCCAACGGATACCACGACCGTTATTACAAGAAGAGGTTTAGCCGACACAACAACATGGCTCGAGACGGCGAACGTGTCAGCTCCTACAACTACTACAAGCATGGCTACGATGGTCATGACCATGGCTACTACGTCGACCCGCCTTGTAATTCGGTCATCGACGAGGCCACTGGTTCCGTTTTCAGCGAGGAGAATCCCCATTTTTGCACCATTGTTTAATGATTGTATGTATGTGTGTGTGTGTGTGTGTATGTATGTATGTATGTATGTATGTATGTATGTATGTATGTATGTATGTATGTATGTATGTATGTGTGTGTGTTGTAATGATTACATAAAGCGTTTGTGTGTATATGTATGTATATATGGTTTATTGGAATCATTCCTCGTGCTATTTTCATTTGGGATTTTACATATAATGTAAGCGAATCAATAATATATATGGATCGATAAATTGCCATCTTGAATGACCAAATTTCGATTATTAAAACCGCAATTACTATTTCACCATTCAAACATATTTTTCTAAAAATATAATAAGTGTATATGTGATTTTGTCCATATATACATAATAAATTAACATTCATATTTTTAGGTTCAAAGCTCAATTTATTAGCACAAGACAAGATGATGTTGTCATTGATCACATGTGATTTATGTGATTGGGCATGGCTTCGGATAAGATGCAAGTACAAAACCTACCATGGATTTTGTTGACTTTGACCTAAATAGGATTTGATTGGTTGATGTTTTGTAAGTAAATAATAGTATCTAAAATCTGATCTGGTACATTTCATATTTGAATATTTTATTTTGGATATAAAACAAATTCTAAGACTACCCGAATCTGAATTAGAAAAAAATATCAGAAATATTTTATAAGTAAAAAACAACTAAAGATATTTTCATAATTATTATATATAGTTGCAACTTATTCAACTTGTTTTACGTTATCTTATCTACTAGTGAGGCAACGTGACATTATACATAGATATAAACAATAAAAATTACGTAAAATCGATGTTATTAATAATGATATATTAATATTTTATTCCAATATTTATATGCTTTCCAAATGCACACGGTAATCAATCAGACACCGCAATACATAAGCAAACGAGGATCTTTCCGAAATTGTCCCAATCACACAGTTTGATTCAAGAACTGCGAACCTTAAAATCCAAAACATGTCCTGAATGTTTTTTCTTTCCTAAATTAAATGTGATTGGATCTGTCCAGATAAGGGTTTGGGGGGGGGGGGGGGGTAGAAGACATGGATGAGGCAGATGCGATTCTCCGAGGCAACATAAAGCGAGCTATGGAAAGAGGAAGAATCTCTGATTCTTACGGTCGTGAGATTAGTCTAGGGAATGTCGTAGTCATCCTTACCACTAGGGCTTTGACCAGATCTTCAGGAAAAAAAGGAAGCTTTTTTCTTTTATTTTCTGGTTCCCTCTTCATTTTCCCGGAAAACTAGCAGTTCGATGATTAGTTTTTGCCTTTTGGGCTGGAGACGAAGAAAATACCACCAAACACAGAAGGGTTTCTGTCGGCGATGAGGATAGCGTAGAGCCATGTCGGATTCAGACGCTGACGTGACTCTGAAGACATAGCGAGAATCAAGGATCTCTCTCCCACACCTGCCTTGATTGTGTTCTGTACTCACCCGTGCGTGCGTGTGTGTATATATACACACGTCGCCGAATATGTCTACGGCTTCTTGGGTTCAGCCTCCTTCTCGATTCTTGCCGAAATCCGGTGGTGTTTGTAAGAAAAGCTGCGGCGGCGCACGGCGGCTTTCCGGCGGCAGTTCTTTGACGACGGCGGCGGCTTCTTCTTCTTCCTTTTCCTCCATCTCTTCGTCGTCGTTTTCCTCGTGTTCTTGCTGTTCTTCGCAGAATTCGAATCCCGCTTTCGGTAATTTCGTTTGGCCCATCTGAATTTGGACTACGGTTTCCGCATTTCAAGCTGTATTTGTTCATCGTATAGATTTAGGGTTTGTTTTTTCCCCCTGTCCTCGTGCCTGATTGATGAGTCTCTCCTGAATGCAAGAGTGTCCGTATCCAATTTCGCTCTGCAATTTCATGCGATTCAATTGTAGAAATGCGCAAATTCTGGTGCAATAGGCACGAATCCATCGGTTGGATCCTGTTCTCTTGCTGAGAAAAAGCTAAGATTTTGCAGAATTGTGAAAGGGCGAAGAACTTTTTCGAAATCAAGAATGGATTATCATATTCTTTTGTTTGGATTTCATTTATGTAATAGGATCAAGCAGAAGCTGGAAATATAGAAGTCTCAGAGCTCAATCGATGAGTGCCACGGCCGAACGGAACTATTCGTTGTCTAATGGCGACACAGACGAGAAAAACGAACCCGATCATCTTCTTGTTCTTGTCCATGGAATCTTGGCCAGGTACCATGATTCTTGTCCAAAAGTTCACTCTTTTCCTCTCTTGTTTCGATAATTTTACGTACCCTTTCCGCGATTTATCACTACGGTTCTCTAAATGCAGCCCCAACGATTGGATCTACGTAGAAGCGGAGTTGAAAAGACGCCTCGGAAGGAAATTCTTGATTTACGGTATTCCCATCTTCTGGTTTCGATTTGTTATTATGGGTTTTCGATGTGCATTAGAATCGAATCGAGTATTACGTTAACGAAATAGTTGGACGGTAAGGCTTTAGTTTAGAGCACGGTGCAATGTGAATGGTACCAAGAATGCAAAGTTTCAAGTTTGCATACCTTTATTTTGTTAATGTTTCATCGACTATTTTCGTTCAATTTTCTTAATTTTGTTTCTTTTCGGTATCGTTTACTCTTGTTCGTCCATTTTCATGCACGGTTCTGATGTAATTTTCCCTGTTTTTTTACTCATTTTCCCGACGGCATGTGCAGCAAGTTCTTCTAATACCTTCACTAAAACATTCGGTGGGATAGATGGAGCTGGAAAACGACTAGCGGAAGAGGCGAGTTTTAATAAATGCCCACATCATCCTTTCCATTCCGAGTTTGAGTCCGGGGTTTCAACTCTGATATATTGTCTTCTTTTCGATCTCTTTCGTCTCTTTTCTTTTATATTCCGAGTGAGGAACAGGTTATGCAAGTGGTGCAAAAGAGCAGGAGCTTGAAAAAGATTTCATTTTTGGCTCACTCCCTCGGCGGTCTATTTGCCAGATATGCAGTTTCCGTTCTTTATTCACCGACAGTTCCGCAAGCCGGTGATGATTCTCTATCTCATTCCGGAAATTCACAACCTCCTCGAGGTAGGATTTCCGGGTTAGAGCCGATCAATTTCATCACTTTGGCCACACCTCATCTCGGTGTGAGAGGCAGAAACCAGGTTCTCTTCCTCCCCTCTTGTCATATAATTCGTATCAGAAAGCTTAGAGTCGGGCTTAGTCTACGTGTAAAAACTTGCATCTAATTCGCTCTTTCTTTACGTTTTCCCGGAAAACTTTTTATCAGCTGCCATTTCTCTTAGGAGTTCCTTTCCTGGAAAAACTTGCTGCACCGATAGCTCCTTTCTTTGTTCGACGAACTGGTAGCCAGTTGTTTCTCACAGACGGTAAACCCGAAAAACCGCCTCTTCTGTTGAGAATGGCATCTGATGGTGAAGATCTGAAATTCTTGTGAGTAAAATTTCTAACAATCCGAATCATTATACTCTATATCGAGTTATTTTGAAAGTATTCTAATGTTCTACCCTTTCCTCTAGATCTTCTCTGGGTTCGTTCAGATGCCGCATTGTGTATGCAAACGTATCTTACGACCGTATCCTCTGTATTTTCTGTTGCTACTTCCGTCGTTATACGCATATGCTTGTTTGTTTATCTTTCCATTTCCCGATCCGTTTTCTTTGACGTCAAACTAGATATGGTCGGTTGGCGGACATCTTCCATAAGGAGAGAAACCGAACTTTTCAAGGTAAAAGATTCTACTGTTTCTATACTCTCTGTTCCATTTTCTTTCGGGTTTTCTTCTTTATATGTCGATTTGAATCGCTGGATCTCATAGATGATCTGCCAGAAGATGAAAGTTTGTTCTTGGAAGATCCTTTTTAGATTTCGGAGTTTACTATTATATCTTATCCCGAAAAGAAAGTTCCGAAGCAAACAAATTTCTGTAAATATCTGCCGAAAGATGGTTTTGGGAGAGTTTCGATTTCTGAAAATAGTTCCGAGGGCATTCATTTCGTGATTAGAAGAAGCTCTTCGCTAACTTGTAACTACAGCTCTCAAGGCCAACTGGCCAAGAAGGTTTGATGAACAATTCATTGCTATTATCGAGCTTTTCTTTATCTTCTTTTTGTAGCCTCCGAGCCGGTCTTTGGATGGATACAAGCATGTAGTGGACGTAGAATATTGCCCGCCCGTTTCATCCGACGGCGCCCATTTCCCTCCGGAAGCCGCCAAAGCGAAAGAGGCGGCTCAAAGCTCGCCAAGCCCAGAGAACACACTGGAGTATCATGAGATCGTCGAAGGTGAGGGAACGGACCCATTGAATATGAAAAGGTTTATCCCCTTTGATTCTATTCGAGTCCGAAACCCGAACGTTAATCCTGGAATTTTCGGGCAGAGGAAATGATCCGAGGGTTGCAGACTTTAGGATGGAAGAAAGTCGATGTCAGTTTCCATTCCGCCTTCTGGCCTTACTTTGCTCACAACAACATCCATGTAAAAACCTCGTAAAAACTCCGAATTTTTATGCATCTGCATTATCCCTTTTCTACTACCGACTTTTACTCGTGTGTGTTTTTTCGTTTTTTTTTTCCGGATTTCCTGCAGGTGAAGAGCGAGTGGATTCACAATGCGGGAGCTGGAGTGGTCGCGCATGTTGCGGACAGCATAAAACAGCAAGAAACTTCCTCGTTCCTAACCGCGAGCTTGTAGACAGACTATGCGCCCGAGAAACTTCGCGTAAGTACGTCCCCTAAACCCTAAGAAAAATCCCATAAACAAAGATCGAAAACTCGATCCTATACTGTGCTATAAAATCCAGACAAACCTTGGATTTCAGTTGCAGTTTACTAAGGTTTTTACTGGCTTTGTTCAGTTAAGATCGAAGAGGCTTTGTCTGTGTTCTTGTTGGGCAAAAGCCATTGCAAGCAGCGGAGGGAGCTTCAACGGATGAAGCATAGAAAGAGGAGCAGAGCTATTGAGTTCATTCATGCACATGATCCTCAGTCTATCTTTTCTGTATTGGAGGATATCATGACAGAACATAACTGTTTGTTTTATGTACAGTTTCTGCTTCTTGGACAACAAGTAATATGCTCTGGGTAAGTTAATAGAGTAAGACAACTGTGTTCAAAAAATTCAAAATCAGAGAAAATTTGTGCTAGCGTGCTAAATGACAAGCTAAATATGTTATGTAATTAGAAATCTATAATTTTTTTTATACACTACTTTATAAAAAAATTGATAAAAAATATCTTTATTTTATTGTCTAATTTCAATATTATCTCTTAGTATTATGAGAAACATGAAATATGAGAGAACTCTTTTTTCATTCACGATAATTGCTTTTCATTCGGGAGATCCAGTTTTCGTACGGAAGAACTATACGAAAAAATTATTTTTTTTATTTGGAAGAACTGTTTTTCGTCCAGAAGAAGTGATTTTTATGCGGGAGAACTTGCTTTCATCTCGTAACTCTTCAAAGCAAAACTTATTTTCGTCTGGACAAATTTTCGGAATGAAGTTGTTTCGTCCGAAAATACATATTTTGGTCTGGAACCTCTTCGAAGAAAAAAATTATATTTTATAAAAATTACGAAAGTGTATTCTTGGTATTAATTAAAAAAGTTACAGTTTCGAAATTTCGAAAGTTTTTGGTACCTTTTCAAAGACCGACGTTTTTGACAAAATTTCCCAATTGCCACTCAAAATTATCCAGACAAAACCCTAAAAACATTACAGTAACATGAAATCACCAAAATGGGAATTTCTTTTTGGGCTTGGAATCAATGGAATAGAGAGAGAGAGATGCCACCAAAATTCTTAATAAATATCAAATAATATGTGATTAGACACATACAGTAATGGTAACGAGGAAAGATCGGATCATAGCCACCAAAAATAACCGAACACAAGAACACGCACACTTTCCAAATATAGAAACAAAGCATTGGTTTTCTCTCTCTGGTCTTCTATATAAAGACGTATGCGGTTTCATCTATTTCAGTGTCTCCTCTCTGTAAACAGAATCAAAATTGATTAACAATTCGATAAAATCCTAAAACGAGAGAGAAGAAGACCGGATTTTATTTTTTTTTTATCCGAAAAAATGGCGAAATTGATCTTATTGGTTGCGTCGGCCTTGTGCTTGGCCACTCTGGTCAACTTCGCCGCGGCCGATGCCGACGACTTCGACCGATTCCACATAAAGGGATCCGTCTACTGCGACACTTGTCGCGTCCAGTTCTTCACCCGCCTCAGCAAATTCCTCGAAGGTATTATTATAACTTTTTCCGTCCCTTAGTTAAATTCTTCTTGAATTTTCTCGAGATGAACACGTTCTTGGTAAGATTCCGTGCCCGATACATGACGTTGGATTGTCAAAAAAAAAATGGATTTCGAATATAAAAATGATAGTGTGCTTTGTTAAAACTGGACTGATCATGTCTCAGATTTGGATATAATTCTAGCTGTCATATGATCAAGAATCAAATGTACGTACATATATATATATATAAATAAAATAGGTTATTATTACAAGAAAACGTCTTCAAATTCTTACATCAGCCATAACATAAACAAAAAAAAAATCATACAAAATAAAATTGTTTTCGTAGTTGCATGTCGTTCCATTTAATTTATAACTACAAACCAAAATGACACGTGACAAATATTGAAATCCAGTTAAAATCGAAAATTCCAAACGATATATAAATGTGGTCTACAATACTCTGTGAATAATAATATTTTAGTCATATTTGTTAGCATGTGAAAAATGTGAAATTCATGGGCAGGGGCAGTTTAGTAAATTGAGGTTGTCCACCTGTCTTCATCCGTTGGGCCTTGAACACAATGTTTATATAAGATGGATCCGCGTGATCTTTTGGTCAACGTTGATCGAGCTTATGACATGTAGCCCAAACAAGTTTTTCCAATAAATGTAAACTGAATAATATATATTTTGTTGGCCATTATATATATATATATATATATATATATATATATGATCAATCATACATGTGGGTTTGTTTCGTAAAAGAGATTCAACATACACATGATAAAAACGCCGTGTTAACGTACGTGCAGGTGCTAAGGTGAAGCTGGAATGCAAGAACATCGACAACCAGACGGTGACACTGACGAAAGAGGCAGTGACCGACAAGTCGGGGAACTACGAGATGGTAGTAATGGGCGACCACGAGGACGAGGTTTGCGAGATCGTACTCGCGGAATCCCCCGACACGGAGTGCAGCGACATTAACAATGAAGAGTTCACCAGAAACGCCGCCAGAATCAGTTTGACCGCTAACGACGGAATTGTCTCCAACGAGACACGAACCGTAAACCCTCTAGGGTTTATGAGGAGGACTCCTCTCTCTGACTGTCCTAAAGCCTTCGAGGAACTTGGCATTGTCCCTGACGTCATCTTCTAAGGCAATTTATTGTTGATTCGATCGAGGTTTTGGATACATATATAATTCTTTTTGGAAGATACGTACAAATGTTATATATATATATATACACATACACCCATCTATATATATATATATGTCTTGGGTTTTTTGAAGAACACAAAGATGGCGATGAAGAGATTACAGTTCATATATATGATATCCGAAGTTTGTTTTTTTTGTTTTTTATTTTTATTTTTTCTTGATTTCGATTGTTTTAAGAATGATATGATTATTTCCATGTTTCGTGCACGTTTTTTTTTAATGTTTCGCCTTGTAATAAAATTTGCAAGGACCGTAGGTTTTTATGATAATCTGATATTCTTGGATCTAGGGTTTGTTTTTTGTTGCAAATGTGATGCTTAATTTTTCATATTTTATTAATTTGGATTGATACGAAAGTTTTATAATTCTTTTATTCTGATTTGTTAAGTGTGGTATGTTTTTTTTTGGTGTGGTAATTTATCTCGGACTCGAAGCCTTTGACCATTAACGTTAATTAATTAATCACTATATTTTTCCTTAATGATCGATGTCTTTAATTTGGTTCTAGAAAAAAAAATAATATCAAAAACAATTTTTTTTATATCAAGTGGTCCATTTGTAATAATAAAAAAATGAAGCGACCAATTTCTGATATCTTACATACCCACACTTTCGAACTTTTTTTTTATTATTTTTTTTTTTCACACGTCGAGTCCAGATGATTATGAAATCATATATATATATATATATATATATATGATTTTTATATTAATCATATTCAATGATAAAGTGAGTAGAAATTGTACGATTAAACATGTAATAAACATAATTGGTTTAAGGTAATATATACTAGGCGATTCAAGAATAAGTTGCAAGCATTCTCAAGCTTTAACTATATATAATTTTCAAATGATTTCATAAACATTTTCAACGAGCATACATACATACATACATATATATATATATATATATGTGTGAAAATAGGGAGAGAACATGAATGGAAGTTTATGGCATTATGTTATTTTATGAACTGATTAGTCAACAATTGTGTTTAAACATATATATAGACACATTGTTCTTTGCCTTTCTTTACGGAGAAAAAGTTCACGAGCTTCAATTTTTTAAAAAACTAAACAAACTTCCAAAAAAAAAAAAAAAGTCTGATTCATTTTTTTTCTGGTAAAACAGTAATAAAAAGTGCTAATTAATAATTAATTAACTAATTAATTATCTGCCAGCCTGTATGTACCCAATAGCTAGCATGTTCTTCACCGGGTCTCAAGGAACCAATCCAACAACAGAGAAAAAAAGAAAAGAAATTAACAAGATTGACCGTCGGAATAACAACGGAGCCTCTTCACCGGAAAATCATGTCGGAAACCGCCTTGCACCGCGGCGGCGGCGGAGGCATGCCATTCCTTCGCCAACAGGTCATGTAACCCAACATGGTGGTCCCCACTTGCACTAAACACCCCGGCCACGACTTGGCCGGTGGTGGGTCTGGTTTTCCGGCGACCAGCTCCGACAGGGACGTTGCGGAGGGTACCGCCGGCGGTCCAGTATCTCTGGCATCCTCTGCAGAAGTGACGAGGCTGATTCACGTTGTAATTGTTGAAGTAACAGAACTTTGTCTCCACGCTCTTGCATCTCGGACACGGTATGATCTTGTCCGGTCGCTTCTCCACCGCCGCCGTCGTAAGATCGGATTTCACGGAGGTGCTGCGTTTCTGTTCCTCTGTCCTTGCTGTTGTCTGTGCCAATATATGCTCCGTTTTCGTTGTTGTTTCTGTCGTGTGTCCTGTTTTTGTCGCTTGTGTGTTGATGTTTCCATGGAATGTAATGGTCTTGCCAAAGAGCTTGATTCCTTTCGAATCCTGGGTTGCCATGAAAATGGGAGAGAGAGGGAGAGAGATTAATGTATTAGTTTTCTTGGAGTGAAGAAAGAGAGAAGAGGACATACTAATAGGAGGAAGAAAAGGAAGATGATTATAAAAGGAGGAAGAAAAAAAAAAGGGAAAAGGCAATAGGAGGCAGAACATATCAAAATATTATTATTATTATTATTATTATTATTATTTTAGCTGATCATAATATATTATTAATAATAAATTACGCGAGAAATGTGTAAAAATGGATTTTGACAAAGCCGCCAATGTAGGTTCTTCTCCACGTAGGTTCTCATTCACTCTTCCATTCCAAATTACTTATTCTTTCCTTTTTTTCCCTATCGAATATATGTTTTATTTATCAATAGATATTATAATGATTCTATATATTTATTTTATCTCCAAATACAGTGATTATAATTGTATTGAGTATAATGAATATGTTCCACGTAGGTTCTTTCTGCAAATTGCTAATATATACACATATATAAAAGGTTTATAATTATATTAAGCACAACTAATTACACAAGCACGTTAAACATATAAAATCATTATTATTTCGATCTTGTTTTCTAATCCAAAATATACCCATTGAAATATACTATTTACGAAACTAACCTGTATGTATGGAACAGCAAAAAGTGATTATATTGAAATATAGAAGAAATTTTTTTAAGACTTTCGAATTCTCAATAAAAAACAATTCTTTCTAGAAAAATCATTGTATTTTTCAATAGGAGTCCACAATTTAGTTTTAAAACTATCATAGTAATTTATTATTTAAATTTTAAAAACTGTTAGCATTCGAGAACTCAAGGCAAAATAATATGATTTTCTAAATACCTAATAAAACCTAAACTGATTTAAAAATTTCAAAATAAAATAAGAGTGTAGAAAGTATTTGACACCCAGACGCTATATATGTATATATATTATGTGTAAATTTATACATCTTTATTTGATTGTTAAGGTGGTCTGAATGGATATTGGCGTGGAAAAAGGTCTACTAGCTATAAATTGAACAAAAGTCACTTTATAAAATATAAGTCTCTTTTGATTCAATAAATCGATTTCGACTATCGGCCTTTATATAAAATTTTAAGAAAATTGTAAAGATGAGTAAAAGGAAAAAAAGAGGAATATATAAAAAAGGACTCATTGATGGTATTGATGGTCCATTTTTTTTTCCTCTTTAGAGTTTTTTTTTTAATTCTTCCCTTTGTGTTATCAGGATTCACGTCAGGTTTCTGATTGGAACCTTTTTGGTTATAAAAAATCTACGTTCAAATTAAATATTTTATTTAAAAAGTAATTAGAAACTTGATGGATATTTGGATTTTCATATTAATTAAAGATAATAATAATAATAGTTAGCTGTATATTAAAACTGAATTTAATATAATAATGTTCATATTTTATTTTTAAAATGAATTTAAATCGAATTTAAATCACATATAAATAAGAGGGATGAAAAGTATTTAAAATGGTAAATATGATACCTATTCAGACTTCAAATCCTATTAATAGAAATGATTTTTTTTAATCATAAATACAAGATATGTTGATATTATATCAGTAATATTCACATGTAGTATTCCTAATATCAACACAATACTTGCATGAATATCCATAACATATTTCTCAATACTAATTTGATTTTAAGTTCCGTACCGACACGATACGCGTACAAATATATGCATATATTTTTTGAAAGGTACGAAATTAGAGAGTAATTTATTTGTATCTAGTGCCATTTTAATTACCAGTTGATATAAATTTGATTTTTAATGTGTATATATATAATATACATATGCATATACATATACATGTGAATAATTATTATCGTTTTAAAGATGGCAGCTGACGGAGGAGGGTAAATGCAATTATCTTTTGTCTTTGTTTTTTTTTTTACCTTTTTCATCTATGGTTTTCAATGGATTTGGTGACTAACTTTTGTTGCTTTTGTTCCTTTTTTTTCCCATGAAATATTATACTTTAACCTTTTGAGAAGTTGTTCCTTTTAAGGAGCGAAAATTCACATTAAGAATTTAAGAGAAACAAATCTCTTTGTTGTTGGGAAAGTTTCCGCCTCAATTGGAAAATGACAATTCTTTTCTATATAAGGTGGTAGATTCGATTCTTTTTCAGGTATGAGTTTTCTTTTGAACCGATCAGTTTCGAATAGTTTATCTATTCTATGTGGTTTGTCGGTTATTGTGCGAAATCGGGAGTTTATTGTCCGAGATGTCATTCGATCCATACAGCGGGTCGGTGTCCGACCCGAAAGATTGTGTGATGGATTCACCACCGTTGCAAAAAAAGCTCTTTTTTTAATATCTTTTTATAGACTATCAGATATCTGCGTCTCTAACTCTGACTCAACGGACTGAACGGTAAAGAATTGACTTAAAAGATGGTTTCAGGGCATAGGGCATAGTTTGTTCAATCTATCTTTAATAAAGGAATCTTAATTAATTGCACTAATAAATTAAGAAGCAGTCATAAAAAAACGTATTCTCTTCTCTCTCTATCTATTAAATGATGTTAGATCATCTATATCTAACACATGCTTTATTGATCTTATCGAATAAGTTCTCCATTTAAACCCGACTTTATTGGAATTAAATCGAAACCGCTATTTCTTTTTTTCTTAATAAAATATCCGATAGCAAAAAAAAAGTTGGTAATAATCTTTTATTTTTGGAATAAAAAGCTGAACAAAGACCTTTATTTCATGTTTATTTAAGTGGAAAAGAGATGCCCCTTTACCTTTAAGGTGCTTTGGAAATCTCTTTCTGATTGAAAATTCAAAAGTTTATTCACTCCCCAAAAAAGACAGATTATATATATATATATATGCATATTTGTGTATATGTATTATTTGCATGCTTTAATGAAACAATTACATTGAGCATTTTATTAGCCTGAACACTAATTAAATAAAAAAAAAACCATGTAATAAATCCATTTCACTTGAATAAATTAAAGATTGAAGAGATTTTTATATAAGATTTTCTTTAGATTATATAATAACATGTGGTAATTTATTTTTTCATAAGCTCATTCAAAAATGACAAACAAACAAAAAAAACCTACCTCAGAAACTCCTAATAAAATTTACCAAAACCCTACCTCGGAAACTCACAAAAATCACAACAATATATAGTAATTATTTGATCTGATTAGCCAATTAACTATGCATTAAAAGCAGGCATTAACCAGAACATAAATTTTTCATTTTAAAGGAATAAGTTCTCCATTTAAATAAACCTATCGCGAGTAAATGGCAAATAAATTTTAAAATGTAAATAAATAAAGAAAAACACAACAGAACCGGACTTCATGACTCGGGGTCTCAGATTCAGAGATTCAACCTTATCTTTTCCGAAGTCATACAACTTTTTGCCAACCCACTTTTCGTTGTTTCTTTAAACCCAAACCACGAATTTCTCTCTTCTTTCTTCTTGATTTCAACGTTATCCACGGAGTTTCCTGAACACAGAATCTTATTTTTACTGTTCTGTTCTTGAATACATAGATGGCGAACACGACGACGTGAAGCTATCTAACTTAATACGCTATACGTACATACATATAATTCTTGCAGACAAAAAGACTGAACCTTTGGATGTCTCCGCAAGCTTCGCCGATGTTCCTGTCTTGCAATGCCAACAACTCATCGAACCCATCATCAAGAAAAGAACGAACACTGAGCGGTAACGCGGAAGAAATTTAGGGTTTTTTGAAATGTGGGTTTCGAAGGGTATGAACTGGTTTTATGTATCGCTCCATGTATCGCTTTCGTCTCCATCGTCGCAGGCAACAGCCTGAGAAAAAAAAGGGTGGTAACGTTAAGTTTTTGGATTTGGAAATGGTAAAAAGAGGGGTGATTATAGATTCGGAAATGCAAGTAGAACAAAGATTGAATTATGGACCTGACGGATTGAATTCGCCTTCTCAAGAATGGCGTTGATGCTGGTGTTTGGAACAAGGCCTGTTGCTGCAGCAGCAGTAGACGGCCTTGTAGATACTACTCGTCTCAGATTGAATTGCTGTAACGATTCACAAATATATATATATATATATATATATATATATATATATATATATATATTTTGTTTGTGTATTAGCTTTCTACAGATTGAGAATGAGGTTAAAAGATAAACAGACCGAGAATTCGAATACACTTCTACATGCCCACTTGATACTGGAGAAAGAAAGAAATTGATACTCACTTTCATTCGGATTTGATGCAAGAAGTCTCCAGCGTCTGCCTCCTTTACACCTGAAATTTGCTTATCTTCTCTGCCATTGTTCTTCTGATGGACCTATAAGCACATATGCTAGTTATTTCCCAACTTGAAATCAAAGATTCCTGAAATATGAAAGTGACCCACATCTGCCATACGTTATTTTCTCGTTCAGGAATGGCGGACACAATGCCGGGCTGCTCTTCCTTGACTGGATCTGTGAATGAAAGCTGAGAGGCAGTAGGTAAGTAGCTTCTCTTATCAAGTGCACGTTTGAGCTCATCCTGTAGTGACTGCTGTTTTTCCTCGAATCTTTCGGTGGATTCCTTTGAAGCCCTCCATTGTACGGGTGGAAGAGGAGGTGGCAAGGGCTCAGCGGGAATCTGGAGGTATGAGAGATTCTCCGAGACAGAACTATTCCTTGTTTCGATCAGTAAATTAGGGTTTAGAGTCTCGAAACTTGGAACATTGAGGGATTCCTCTGAAAGAGAGGAAGGTTCAGCATCATGATTTGCATGTGAACTTCCATGCAGAGAATCATATAGCTTTCGGTCCTCTCTCTCGGAAGTGGATTCTTCCCAGTGCTTGGAACTTGAGCCGGAATCATCGTCGCTTGGATAATCGTTATCTGACATGTTAGGAGTGGATCTACAGAACGTGTCGTCATCTGAATCAAAATCATGAACATAGGTAACGGGCTCTGGCACTAATTGAAACGACGAAAATGTGTATTTGTTGCCATCATGACGATGAACCCCATCGGGCAATTTCAGCTTCAGTCTCGAGATCTGAAGGCTCTCCTCAGGGTTGAAAGATATTTTTATGTGTTCAAGTGGTGGAGATGAAGTAAGCCAATCAAAAGTTGTATCGTCTCTGAAGGGTTCTTCGAAGGTTTTCTCTTCCGCTACTTCAACATTCTCAGGAATGGTTGCTGGTACAATCTTTCTATCACGGGCAAAAGAGTCTTTTCTGCGAAAACCATTCATCAGAAACCTATGGCTGATATCAAAACCTCGAGATTTTTCGTCACTGGCATGTGGATCAGGAAATGGCTGAGAAGCCTTTTCAGATGTATAACTTGAAACCATTTGAAACTGCCGATGATTCCCAACCACTATATCTGCCTTTTCTGTCTCCTTATCTTCGTTCTTTGGTTCTGCAAAGACCGGAGGTTTTGATGGTTGTAGTCCCAATAGATTCCCATTTGTCCATATCGTTACGGGTTTGTCATCATGATAAGCTTCAGCTTCAGCTTCAGCTTCAGCTTCAGTTTCAGCAGCTTGATGTTCATCCATGCTGTTATTGCATAAATGATTCAATGAACCATCACAAACATCATCATATTCTCTTTTGGAACCATCATGAACATCCTTGCCTGCAGGAAGATGACTGTGTCGGGGATGGTTTTCTAAATCCACCACTGAATCTCGATGAATCAGTTCTTCAGATGCATTTCCACATGATGTCTGATCATTGTTGGAACTCGGCTCTGTTTCTTCCTCGGTAGGGCATGAAATTTCCAATCTTTCATCTGTAATATCATTAGAATTCTTCTCCACCTCTCGACGCGTTTTGAACCCATAATCATTATCCGATTCTGAATCAATGGTGTTAAGTGCATCGACAAATGTCTCTCCTTCGCTCTCTGTATCATCTTCACTATCCATTTCCAGTTCACATACAATTCCCGATTCTCTCTCAGTTTCCCGACTAGCTTCCGTATCTTGCTCTACTTCAACATCAAAGCTCGTCTCCACCATTTCAGGAGCTTCATTTGTTGCATGTTTCTGACCATTGGATTCCATTATTTCCGGTTTCTCATCCCAACTAACGCAAGATGAACCCCGACCCACCTGCTCCCGAGAAGGACTAAACGAGAAATGATCATCCGTGTCTTCGCTATGACATTCAGAAAGAACTGAAGCTATGGTGAGGGCACCCGGTGTCATGCTGGAAGATGAGAACCCGAGTGTTTTTGCTTCATTCTTCACTGAAGAGGTTGCGGTGGAAAGGCCTTCAATATATCCCGAGCCACTTCTAGAATCCAAAGACCGAGAATGATCTTGTAAATCGGATTTCAGTTCAGTGTCAACCGTTGAGGCAGTCTTCGAAGAAGAGGTTCTTCCGCTGAAGCTTAAAGAAATAAATGGCTTCCTGCAGATCAAGACATTTCACTTATTATATCAAGATACATTTCAATCGAGTCAATCTCAAAATCGAAACTTGAGTTAAAATAATTCATCTCGTCCATATATGCATCCTGCAAATCAAGAAGTGTGTTTTACCTGCCACTCTGCTTAGCCACAGAAGCCAGACATGATAAATCCCGATTTCTTTGCAGAGATTTTTTCTTCTGTCCATGTTAAAGATTGAATTTAGAAAACCGGAAAAAAAATCCAAGGAAAACGGAAAAACGTTTACCGATTCATTCTAACACACCTTAATTTTACCGTTGTTGTTATCTTTCTGGAAGCCACTGTTTACTTCAATTGGTTTGCCTGATGCTCTTCTGAAATAAGTAGGATCGGAGTATCGCTTCAAACAAGATCCCGGACCATCTATATCAAATCTGAGGGCAAGCAAAGAATTAGAATCATAATCCAGATTAGTCCAACTTAATGGTATGTATATAAAAAAACATACAGCCACATACATATACTGATAACTGAAAAATAAAAAGACATACTTGTCGAGCAAGTGCAACCGAGGAGGATCCCGGCATTCTTCATATGAATCCATAACAACTCGAGGCAAATCGTAGCAAATAAAGTGGCTTTGCTCATTCGGTATACGAGGATGCCACTCCCGACCTGAAATAGACGTAAAAAATTCCCGGTCTCTTTCTGGATATGCATGTACTCAATAGACTATAAGTGATATTTGTTAGACAATTCAGCGCAGTGGAACTGAACTATTTCTTACAGGTGACTTATGTTACACTCAGTGCTTCAATATAATTGGGCTTTTCCCCAATGGACAAAGCAGATATAGAAAACACACAGTACAGATCAATCCTTATCAAGATTCTGATTTTGTTTCTTGAACTAAGCAGATACAGAAAACAGTATAGATTCTATGTCTTGCCAAACATAGAGGCACCTAGCTGGATTCTTCCCCACAAGCTTTTTAACTCCCACTATAATTGGTCCAAAGTGATTTCTACGGTTCACGGGTTTTAATTAAATCCCAACAATAGGGACCTCATAATCTTTGTTGAAAGATTAGTGAAAAGCCATGTGGTTGGGGCCTACAATAAACTCAAAAGGATCATACTATTTAAATAAAATAAAAAATGCATGTGAAAGCTAATAAGAATCAAACATCACACATACAGACAGTGATAAGAATGACAAAAGAAAAAAAGACAGACCTGATGTGTATGCAAAATGTATACGGCTAGTCGGTGCAAGCATCGTCTTCTCAAGAGAAGGTATTATGGATTCTATATTCTGCAATCTGATCATCAATTTGTTACTTCTGGAAGCTGTGGTCATCACCTCCTCCTGTATGCCATGAAATATCTCTGCTGCAAATCTTAATCACGGGAAAGTGATCCATAGTTAGAGTGGTTCTTCGTTATAGACACCGAGAATATCGTACAAACCGATTCAGTGATAACCCTTTAGACCCCGAGATCAAACAAAATCAAATTTAGCTACATTTTGGCCAAACTATACTGGTCAATTACTTTTACAGAAGATAGAACAAGCTTTCTTGCTTTTGCATCGTTGCATGAGAGTTAAGGAGGAAACTCTTGCCAAGAAGAGTTGTTTAGAAGCATAAACATATACAAATGGAGATCAAACATAGTGAATATGAGCATTAGCTTTGAAGCTAATTGTAAGGAAAAGCTCAGGGGACTGACTCGTTAAAATGGCTGCAGTCAGAAACATACTTCAGGCACATCCGGAGGAGTTTTTCTCTATAGTGAACCTTCAACCAACATCCATGTAACATGAACTACATACTAAGACTCTTACTTTATCTTACTCCTCCAATTAAAGCATGAACGGCATTGAATGGCACAACTTCGAATCGAACTCAATCCTCAAACTTGACCATGCATCTTAGAACCCGAGCACTGACCAGCCCATGGAAAAATCTTTTCTACAAGAAGACAAAAAGTGAAAGAAATAACAAAGAAAATCTTTTTTTCCATTGAAGCCCAAACCAAACTCGATGGTCACAATAACCTCGATCAAATGGGAACATTTCAGTAACCCCGCAACAGTGGCATCACTTCCATAGCCAGAAAGGCTCCAAATGACTCAGCCAATTTATGATTATTTCAACCGATTAACTTCCACAAAGAGTTAGACCAGAGGAAAGACCAATACTTCGTTCATGCAAGGATAGCAAGTGATTTTATCTTTGGCAGAACATGCCTGAACTTAACAATCAGCTCAAGAATCAAACAAACGAAAATAATCCAAACCCAGAAAAATTTGGAAAGGAAAAAAAAGTGATTTTGCAGCTCGAGGTCATACGTACTCGGCAAGATCACCCAGTTGCCGCAAGATCCCGACGATTCCGGCTACGGAGACGCCGTCGAGAACCGCCTTTGGGTCTTCCCGGTCAACATTCCGGTGCAGCTCTCGTTTCCCGAGGCCGTACTCGTTCCTCACTTCGAATCTAGCGATCGGCATTGGCTCTGTTCAATCGAATGACGGTGTGTACAAAGACATCACACAGTGGGAGAAACTGTTTATGTGAAAAGGGAATCAAAAGAAGAGAAATTTCGGGTGATGAATCAAATGGGTCTCGAAGAAAACGAAGAACGGAAAATGGGTTTCCCGGAAAAAAATCGAATTTTGTTTCTGGGTTTTGGTGGGTGAGATTGCGGCAGCTTAACTGCCGAGAACAGAGAGGGAAAATTTGGAGGCTAAGTCTCTGTGTGTGAGAGAGAGAGTCATTACCAACACTGCAAGCCATTCCTTTCCATTTCATTTTACAGGAAAAAATCGCTTTCCTTTGGTAGCACAAGGGCCTGATATTACAGATATACCCTTGTAAGTTTCTGAAAATTACAAAAAGGGGCTTGGAGCAGAAACTGTTAGTGGATAACACGATTTACACGGCTTGGCTAAATGGCTCCGGCTAACTAACTCGGATTAGCCTCTCTAATTTACCGTCTTTAATTTGATTTTTTTTTTTAAATGATTATACTGTTCTATCTTATTTTATAAATAAAAGAAATTCTATCATCTTAATTAGCGCCAAACAACTTGTATTAGAACTATTATCAGTCTCTTTTACGAGACTTAATTTTTTATGCATTATTATAATGATCTAATTAGAGTTCCACATACGATTCAAATAAATTTAATTTTTAGAAGACCGAGAAAATAAATTAAAAAAATATCGGAAAAGAACCCGAACTATTCAATCGTAATTTTCCCTCAACATCCCCATATTTTGTAAAATTGAGTAAGCATTTATAGTTATTCTAATAGGAATATGGTTTTCCTCAAGAAGTACGCTTTGCTAATATCAACACAATAAATTTATTATTTATTGAGATTGCACACATTTACCCAAAAAAACACGAATTATTTTATAAATTTTTTAGTAAGCATTTTGTTTAGTAAGGGTATTAATATACTAAAAAAATTGTATAGCTTAATTTTGTTGGAATATAAAACCAACTTAAGTATAAAATAAATGATTTATAAAATATTTTATAAATTTTTTATTTCCTACTCTTGAATACAACGTGTATCCGTCCATGTGTTTGAACTTTGAATGTTATCATCAATCAATCAGTGTATTTGTGTGTATATATATATATTATCATAAAATAATATTTGTGAGGTCCACACCACACGTATGTACACACACACATATATATATATGTATACGGAGTGGGTATTGAATTAGATCCGTATAGGGTTAGGAGAATGCAATATCTATTGATCCCTTAGAGTAGTTGGGGATCTCACTTAAATCTCACACAACTCAATAAAGCCCTCAATAATGGAAGATTAGTTCGTCATTTTTTCTGACATTAATATATAATTAATAATATGCAATATTGTTCTTTATATTTCTGATAAGATCCATGACTTTTAGTCATAGTCGTTTAGTAATAAATGCTACCTAATAGTATTATTTTACCCATTAAAATATTTCAGTTACGGTATTGACAATTATTATAGTAATAGGATTATTAGCCGATCAATAGTTGAATTATTTGATTATGAAATGCTTGCATAAAAAAAATTGTATATGCTCAAATTACTCTTCAACGATTTGATAAATGATTATAAAATAATCAGTTATCAATAGGCATGTTTAGAGTGCGGTTATATATGACGTTCATGTTTTTACTCTATTTAATTTTTTTACAGATATTTAATCCCCATATTTCTATAGATGTAAATGGAATAAATCAAAATTCTAATACTCATCACAGCCAAAAGAAATATAATACTAATAAACATTAGAATTTATGATACTTCAAATTATATGAATTAATTAATATATAATGAAAAATAAAGACCAAACATCTAATGGATGTCTACATGATATATTAATCACTATAAAATACATTTTGATCATCACCACATTTTACACGTTTAATTTCATTTACAGAGCTTAAGTAAATTAGTTAGATATTTATCTCGATCAACTTAAAATTGGACAAGCACATTTTTACAATATCCATTTACTTAGAAAAAATATCAATTTACATGTGTTTATTAGACATTGGCGATAAATAAACATATGCATCTAGTTATCAAAAAACAATAATAATAAACATATACATCTAACGCTTCAGTAGACCGTTGTTGATGGAATATCGAAATATATTCATATATTATTTCTTATTTTATTAACTTTTACTTCTTTTGCGATTTTAGATACAAGCACCACTTTACGGCTTCACTGTTTTAAATACACACACACATATATTATATATATTGTTTAAATCTTCTTTTTTATTTTTATTTTTAATTTTGTTAGATCTAAGGCAGAAAAATTCGATCTGTTTGACATTTACGTAATTATTAATATAATTAATGACCAATGGACCATAATCCAACTAATCAGACTGACAGTTGGTGAATAATTAAATACGTATCTTAAACCACTACTGATGTAATTAGTTATTCTAAACACTTGGGGACAAGAAATTACAAAATTTTATTGAGTTAATCACAGTACACATGTTGCAGTATATATATTGTCAAAAGTATGCGAAATACTATAAATGTTATTCTAAAAATTATAATATAGTCTCCCACTATCAACCGAGTGTACCACACTCAACAAATGCCACAACGCATTCCAATTTTTTTTTTGGGATAATAACAAATTATAAAAATATTTGAGAAGTAAAACCCGCAAGTGATTTTCCAATTATTTCACATCCAAAACCATATATATATATGTATGTATGAATATATATGTGTGTGACATGCATATGTAACACACACTACTATTATAGGGCCCGTTTATTACAAGCTTTTTATTTACTTAGCCCAATTGATGGACCGTACAAATTGATTTAGCCTTGTTTTGGACTAAATCCCATTATAAGCTCCAACAATTTTACTTATTGTATTATTAAATCGCCACTTAATAGAACGAGTGTTTGGCTAAGGAAGAAGTAATCTTTAGGCTTTGAACAGAGGATTTATTCAAAATCAATATTTTTTTTTAATCGAAACTAAATTGCAACCGAATGACAAAACACAACATATTATTTATGATTAAATTTTCTCCTAATGGAATGTGTGTTGTTCCTCCAGTCATTGAATAGAGATTTAAACGATTCATTTGTTTCTTGCAAGTTATTTAGGGATGACCATTTTGGTTATTAATTAACCGAATAATTAAACCGAACTAAATCGTAAATGTAACCAACCGTAACCGAACTAAATCTAACATAAAAACTGAAAAGTTATAACTTCTCAAAACCCGAAAAAAAATCGAATCCGAATTAAAAAATAATAATAATAACCGATAATTTTTTTACAAAATAATTTTTTACCAATAAAAAACTGAATCCAACGGATCCGAAATCAATATAAAAATCAAATGGTTATAGTTTTTTTATGTAACCAAACTCGAATATAGTCGAACCGACTCTCAACCGGAACCTAAAATTAATGGCCGCTTCCATCAAAACTCGAGATCCTAATTTAGGTATAATTTCTTATTAGATTATTGATCGTCGTTTGATCGACCAATCTATTGGCTATTGTTGATAATGTTAATGATTGTAGTTCTTCCCCTTTATCATCTTACTATATATATGTATATATTGCATAGTAAATTTATTAAATTTTATAATGAAAATGGGAAAAAAAAGTTTGAATTTTTCATATTAAAAAAAAATTAGAAGTCCTCAACATTATTAACATGCATCAAAGGGTTAAACTGTCTCATAGGATCAATCATCATAAAAGCCAAAAATCAACCCTATAGTTGTCTCCAACAAAAGTGATAATTACTCATGAAGTGACTGCCAATAAGGGCCCATATGCTTCATATGCACATATATATACACTTACACTAAGATGCATGGATACATAAAAAATTTACAACGGTTGTTTTTAATTTTTACAAAATAGGAATTCATGTATAATGCATGATTTACATGCAGTGCATATGTTACAAAATGGCCAATTGAGAATTACCACTTGACAGGAAGAAAGAAAATTAAATATGGTCATATAAACACTGTTTGGACATTATAATATCTACAAATTTTAAACTCTAATTTTTTTTTTTGTCATATTCAAACCAAAGAAATAGACATTTGAATCTACACATTATTTGAAACAATAATAATACCTTCTTTTATCTATATTCTCCATCACACGATTTAATATTTTAAAATATTTCATTTATTTTAATAAATCCGAACAAAAATCTTATTAGACCAATTCATAAAACCCTAATCATATAGTTTTTCGAAAATTAAAAAGTTTGAACTAAAAAAACAAGCAAACCGAATTTGTCCAAAAAAAGCTTAATCAAATCAGCATATATATATATATATATATATATATATATATATATAATTCGTTACATCTTGTTAGGATCTATAGATACAATGATTATTTGGTTTCCTGGTATGATATTCAAAATGCATTGTTAATTCGAACATTTAACAAGGCTATGAGTCCAAATAAAAATTGTTTTCGAAAATCTTTCTAACATTATATTTCGACCGTTCCTGTCATGTACGTGGAAATTCCCTTATAATAGAAACAAATAAATAAAAATAATCAGTAGATAGGGAAAAAGGAAAGGAAAAGAAAACAACGTCGACGGCCCTAGGGCTCATCCTTTTGTCTCCTAAGTCGAAGACCCTCAAAAAAAAAAAAAAAGATTTTGATACTCACAATTCATCTCTTTTCAAAAACTTGAATCAATTCTCTTTTCCTTTACATAAAAAAGAAGAAGCAAGAACTCTTCTTGCAATCTCATCTATATCACTCTCAAATCCATTCAAAACCAAGAATTTTGATTGTTCGATGTTATCATCAACTGAACCAGTGGCCCAGCAGCAACAGCTGAGCCGCTACGAATCGCAAAAGCGCCGTGACTGGAACACGTTCGGACAGTATCTCAAGAACCAGAGACCGCCCGTCTCGTTCGCTCAGTTGAGTTTCAACCACGTGATCGATTTCCTCAAGTACTTGGATCAGTTCGGTAAGACCAAAGTTCATCACCATGGTTGTGTCTTCTTTGGACAGCCTGATCCTCCGGGACCTTGTACTTGCCCATTGAAGCAGGCTTGGGGAAGTCTCGATGCGTTGATCGGACGGCTGAGAGCTGCGTTCGAGGAACATGGCGGATCGTCCGATCAAAACCCTTTTGGGAACGGTGCGATTAGGGTTTACCTGCGTGAAGTTAGGGATTCTCAGTCCAAGGCAAGAGGGATTCAATACAAGAAGAGGAGGGAGAAGAGGAAGAGAATCAATGGCGAAAACCCTAGTAATCATCAGATTCGAAAAACAATGAATGATGAAGGGACATCGTCGAACGTCCTTCCTTCTCCCATTTCACCGTAAAGGTAACGTAACAATTTATTTCTCCATTCTTTTATCATAAAATTAAGGATAATAATTAATCTTTGTGTAATTAAGGTGATTCTCTTACAGGAGCCTAAAGCTCGTGATCTATGAAACTCTAAGCTCATTAATTATACCTAAAAATATCTATATACATACGCTTTTGTTTGTGTGTGTATATGTGCGTGTGCATCGGTCTACCAAGAAAATGAGTGTATAATGCAATATATATACTCTTACATGATCTGTTACAAGAAAATACTGGTTTAACATACAAGGATTAATAATATCTGAATATATATATATATATATATGTGTGTGTGTGTGTGTGTATCGTATTGTATTGTATTGATACCCTGAGCGTTCATAGGCACGACCAATGGCATCCAACAGATTTATTTTTGGCCATGAACAATGAGCTTTAGGCTTCTAACATCGGTTTTCAAATGGATATATATAGCAAAATACCAAATTGTGTAATTATCCCCATCTTTCCGTACATATGAAACTTGGCTGCATACCTAATGCAAACAAAAAGGTTATAACTTTGGAGTAATGAGATCAAAGGTTCAATATATCATGAGAACTAGGACCAATTGAACTAGTTTATGGTTAAATTAAAACTGTTGCCTATATTGGGAATCAAGCAAAAATATATACACATATATTATGTATATAGACATGCACACCCATAATATATATATATATATTTTTTTCTCTCTTTTGAGATTTGTTGGGATTTTGTGTGTTCCCCATGAAAGACCCATGAAATGACATGGTTCATGCATGTCTCACATGTATAATTAATGAATCATATATCTCTGGATATTATAAGCGTAACCTACGTCATGATATTCCTTTATATTCCCCAAAATTATATATATATATATATACACATGTGATTAATTAGTCTCTATTTTTTTAACATAACCTTTCCTGAGATTGACTCTTGCAGGATGGTACACATTGAGCCAATGCCCATCTTCCTACATATTCGTCTGAAGAACCAAAATGCGTTTCTTTGGTACAGCTCTTTGTGATTCATATATAAAATTGTTATACAATTTAGTCCATGATCAGTTCAGTTATACTTTATATATATGTTTTTTTTATTTTCACATTTGTCTAAACTAAGAAACCCACAAATAAAAATCTTCTGTTCGGGGTCCATACCTTATGTTTGTTTACATAGGGAGGATTCAAGTTAAAAGCCTTTGAGACATTTTATATCGTTAATTAAATGTTGTGAAATCATTTGTTTGAATATACCGATAAAATAACAAAATATACCGATGAATTCGGATTCAAACTCGGTTCATACGACGGTTTATATATAGAAATGAATTCGTTGCGTTTTGATATTGAACATGTACATGAGACTATGAGAGAGAGTGTGTGTGTGTATATAGAGAGAGTACAAACACAAAACCCTAGCTATCCCTAAATACAAAATTACATTTATATCCTTATAGTTTAAATCAACGAGTTCCTTGGTATAGGGAAACACATAGGTCCCGAACCATATTAACTTGTGATTGGGATTATCCAATGGAATATACTAATAAAAATTTGATGAACATGTGGTAACTTGGGGATATATAATGGAATGGAGAGGAAGAGGTTGTGCGCCAATAAGATCCATAAACTTATGCGGTTTCATTTTAAATGGGCCGTTATTGGGCCTCATTTTGTTACGTACGACTCACTACAAGGGGTAGGATTCGGCCATGTGCCAATGAGAGGTTGACCCATATCATAGAATTACCATTACAAAAGACCTATATATATATATATATATGTGTGTATATGTGTGGCTGGGTGGGTTATATTTTATTCAACGAACACATTTTTGCTAAAAAACATTTTTCCAAAATATTCTTTTTTCTTTATAATTTTTGCTAATTTTTAATACTAATTTCATTAATTATTAAAAATCTTAAAATAAAAAAGAATATGAAAAAAATACTTCACTTGTTGAAATTTTGTGGAGAGAGAATACCGATTTTTTTTTTTTAATATTATACGATATACCCTTTTATATTTACTTTTCACGAGAAATTGATAGATATGTAAAAACAAAATATGACATATTTCCTGCTTACTGATATGATTAATGAATATATATATATATATATATATATATGGGGATGCTTACTGATATGATTAATGAATATATATATATATATATATATATATATATATATATATATATCATAACTTAGATGGGGATTGCCAAAACTAGTTCAACTTTAATTAGATCCATTAAGTGGACCATATAAACAGTTTGCCAAAATGTTACTTCCAAAATTATTTCAATTCATGTGTCCCACATGACTGTTAGAGATAAAGATAAATGATTATCTTTGAAAAATCTCGATAGAGGAGTGGGCAAAAGGAGATATCAAATCAATCTCAGCCTAAGATTCTCGCCTGCAATCTAATCTCTTGATTCATATATATACATATATATATGTATGCATGTACGTGTACACGTATATGTATATATATGTGTGTGTTTAAATAATTTTCCATCAAAACCTGAAAGAATCAAATACTATTTAGAACATCATGATTCAATTATGTGAAAAAAAAAATGGACAGAAAAAATACCTACCAGAATTAGGAGTTGACATTTTTTTTAGTTCTATCGTAGTTATATTATTTTAAATTCGATTTTTTATTTTATAAAAATTATGTTCATTGGATTGGTAATTCGATCTTTATTTTTATTATCTGAAGAAATTTTTATTTCAGTTCGATTTTTTGGATCATTATTTATAAACCAATGTCCATATAATTTCGAATGGGAGGCGTCATTAAATAGACTTCGATTTTAATCTAGTCGTGTATTTTAATGAAAAGGTTTATTGGTTGATATATTTAATGGAAAGTAATTGATGCAAATATATGGAATTGAAGGGAGAGTGCAATAAGCATCACCATTAAGGTCTTTCGAGATTTATTTTATTTTATTTTATTTTTTGTGGAAAGAATCTAAACCAGAAGGGTTGGTTTCGTATCAAATCATTATAAGTTAGTGTTTAATATTATATTGATTATTAGATCAACTTTGAAAAAAGAAATTTTTATATAAATAATGTTAAATTAAATTTTTTTTTAAAAATTTATAAAATAAAGAAAAAAGAAGAAAAACTCTCATCAAATCCATTTTTTCCGTTCAAACGTTCTTTTGAATTTTTATTAAATAAAACTTTTTCAAATTTAAATGGCTCTTTGTCATTGTCGGTTCACGTTTCCTTAGTGGATTTGTTGACCCAACGCTAGAGCCGAAAAAATATATTTCGCTTTCATAAAATTTTTTTCATTCTATTTTATTTTATACAAATTATATTCTCTACTCCATTCGTACTTTATTCGGATTTTGATTTTAAAATTTAAAAAAAAAAATCAAGAGGTTTTTATTTTCATTTTATTTTTTAAGATTTGATTAACTTGATATAAAAAAATATTCAATTAAAATTAGAAAATATTAAAAACCGATTCAATTATGTTTCGTATAAGATAACCAGAATATCTATTCTACCCGACACATAATAAAAAACGTATTTTTCTCCGCAAGAAAAGAACCTATCCATATTTAGAAAAATGAGAGCTACAACGTCCAATTTAGATATATATATTGTGTATATATATCGATCGTATGTATGTGCAATGAGTCATGACCACGAAGATTCACACACGATATACAATTGTATATATTTTGTAATCATCCATCTTCAAAATTTTGTGTTTGTGTTCTTTTGCTTCTTCTTTGGTTACACTTTTGAATGAATAATATAGTTTTTATTCGGTGTTTCTAAGGAGAATCTGCCAAAAGACAAAGATGACAAACACAACGTCATTCGCAAACTTACTCCATGTTGCTTTATTTCATATTTTTATTATGTCATAATAAACATATGTTCACACTAAAATTTTATCATGTCTAATATTAATATTTTGATAATCTAATTTTGCAATGTAGTTGAAAGTGTTTTATCTATATATATATATATAATTGTTTGCTTTTCAATAAAATTATTATTCTTTTGGGTACCGCTAAATGTTTAAAATCGAAGCAAACACTATACAGTGTATTTTTAATCCTCTAATAATGATGGAATATTATAAGCATCTTAGATATTATTATAAAATTAATTACTTTCTTTAATTACAATAACATAATAATAATTGATGATGACGACATGATGATGATGATGATGCTGATGATGATGATGATGATAACTTTAGGAGCCGGTAGTGCCACAACCATCATTATGTATTTGATTCGTATGGACTTTGAGTTGTTCGTATCATATGAATAACTATTTTCAACTTATCTATATCCATATAGGATAAAAGGAAGAGCACAAATAAACAGAGGGACCAATTATAATATTTTTTGTTATTATATCATAAAAGTAATTACATGACAATTAATATATACATATAAGCAATAATTATGAACTGTAGAAACTTATATATCAAATCAATACTGTTCATGTAATTTTCCACCGCAGGATATTTTTTTCTTGTAATATATTTTTCATATTTTTATTCTTATTGAAGAATTTATGAAAGAATTTTTAGTTGATTTTATAATTTCGTTGTCTCGATTTTGGTTACATAAGGCTAAAAGGGTTAAATTTTTTTTTATGATAATTGATTAATAAAGTTTTTCCAATATCGAGAAATTGACAAATATGAATTTCAAAATACAACTTGGAAAAAAAAAGAACACACACCACATACACTTGAATGCCTATATCAATAATTCTCTAAATTGGAAAATTTATTTATTTTTCTTTTAAATATTATAATTGGAAGAAGTCTTATGTATTGATCTTCTTTGAGAAAAAAAAATAAGTAGACAGCCCAAAAATCAAAAGGCAAAAAAAAACTATTTTACTGACAAATGGTTCACTGAAACGGCGTCGTTTTCAGTCTCTGATATGCTCTCTAAGTGCGGTCTCCAAACGCCGACGCGTCCTCGCCGCCGATCCCTCTGCGTCGCCACTTTCTCCGACAATATCTCCGTCAAGTAACGGTCCGAAATCAACAGCGACATATTCTTCTCATAATTATCATTATTTTTCTCTCCGTTAAACCCATCACTAACGCCGTTACGCCCGTGACGGCGATTGCCGGCGCCGTTACTTCCGTCTCTCCTCTTACTCACCGCCCGAACGTTTTTTCCGGTGTTACCTCCGCCAACGTCACCGGAGGAGGAGACGGGCATGAGGAAGTAGATCTTGCCGCGTTGGAGCTCGGCGTCGGGAGGGACGACGACGATCTTGGCGGCGGAGATGACATCATCACGGGGGCGATCGACGGAATCTGACGGAGGAGGAGACGAGGGTTTTCTGAGGACGTGCTTTGGGTGGGCTCTCATGATCTCTTTGGCTGTGATGGAGCCACTGATTTCCTCCACGTATCCGTTCGAGTGTACGATTCTGATCACGTCCAGTGATCCACACGGTAAAATGCATGCGATGCAGCACCTGATCGTCTCCTTCATCGTTTTTCTTCTTTCCTTTCCTATCTCCCTCTCTCTCTCCCTTTTTTATTACATGGAAGGGAAAAAAGCAACCTTAAAGAGCCTGTTTCTTGTAGAGCTGCATGCAAGGAAGGAGATGAAGCTTGGAAGAGAGATATTCTCAAGAGAGAGAGAGAGAGAAGGGAGAGGGAGTGAATGAGGGACATGTACCTTATAATTGGCTTTTTTTTTTGTCAATTTTTGTGTGTGGTAAAATGAATGAGTTTATTATTTATTTTAGCCGCTAAATGGCTTTTCGTATATTATAATGTGTATGTGGGTGTATGATTGAAATTATATATATATATATATATATATATACATACACAGATATATGTATGTAAATAAATGTATATAAGTTCTCTTTTTTCTGTGTTGCCTTTTTTTCTGCTCTTTTTCGGGGGTTGGGTTGGGAATATGTGTATGTGTATGTGTGTGACACTATATGCTTACCAAAACTACTGATAAATAATTGTTTTTATGCCACCTGGATTAATTTAGCTTTTAAGTTCAATTCATAATACTATTTTGCTAACAAAATTCCAAAACGAACGGCCAAAACTATTGTTGATGACATGATAACGTTACATTTGATCTGTAAACTACTAGAAAGTATTTATATATACACACACACACAACATATAATTATGACCTCAAAACAAACAAACAGAACAAGAAAAGGGAGAATGGATAGGTCAAGAAACCAACCAAATTTGAAATAATTATATATATATATATATATATATGAGTGAAAATAAAATGGATTTCAATATGTGGAGGGAACAAAAGGATGTAAATTCATGGCATGAATGATTGCACCAACGAGTTTTTATGTAAATGTACTTTATCTTTTGGATCCATCATCTAAAAGAATAGGTGGGAGGGGGCCGGTCCATCCCCTTTTGTGTGTTTTGGGTGCATTTTCATTTCATTTATATATATAATTATTTTAATAATTTATAATAAGGTATGGTTTTCTGCTAGGCTGGGACGTATGGGTATACACATGTCATTACATCATCGGGTCTCCCATATGTCACCACACACACATTACATTTCATTACATTACATGTCCGTCTCTATCAATCCATTTGCCGACACGTTGTTCTTTCCCACGCCATATCTACGTATATATATATTCCTTTGATCTATCTAACACATATGTATATATATGCGTATATAGATACGCGTATATATGCGTATATATTATTACATTGATATCGATCCCGGTCGTTTTGGAGTTCTAACGTATTGCATCTAATTATATCATTTTGATGCCAAAAACCTTGAATTATTCACTTTCATTTAGTTAAATGTTTGTAGAAAAATAAAATCTAAGTAGATCGTATTAACTTTTTCACCTACCTCATATTTCTTTTTTCTCTTACGATTTTTGGTTCCATCTACATGAAAATATATATTTCTGAGGTTATATATATAGCATAAACTTGTTTTCTACAAATAACTCAACACGTTTTTGATTAATGTACGCTACATTTCATAAAAAAACTATAACCACTCTAATATTCATGCAATCATATCTAATCATACGTGTAATCAAAAGTTTTTAAGCTAAGTTGCCATCATAAACGCAAAAAACTTTTTTATGATTCATTGCTTAAGTTTAGAAAGCAGTCCATTTCTTAATCAAGCTTTTAGAGTCAACATCATTTTGTTAATAGATGCTAAAAACATTAATGTAGGGGGTTTAGTTTAACCATCCTCGTCAAGATCGTACTAATTTTACTATTGTAGATGTGAATGGATAGAGACTTAAAGTTTTGATGAAGGGGAAAAAAGAAGGCCGATTCATCAATATGACGAGTTACATTTTCTGATATTTCTTTTCATTTTTATTTCATTCGATCGTCTTCATTTTGAATTTTATATTTTTCATTTATTTTTTGCTTTGTCGTGACTATATATATATATGTGTGTGTGTATGTGTCATGAAAAGTCAATCCAATAAGAAAATAGTCGAATTTTGATATACACGCATCCGGTTGGATTTTAGATCCTAGTGCCCTGCCCTTTTCCTATGGAATAATTTTTTGTTGTTTTTCAATATTCATATAGATCTTTTCTGATGTTAGTTTACCGAAAAGCTCGCGCACACATACATACATACATACATACATACATACATACATACATACATACATACACATACATTACGAGTTTTCCAAGAGTAGTTATATTTTTTTAGGATTTGCTTCTTGGGAATGTATAATGTTTCCTTGGAAGTAAATTAGCAATGGTGGAATCGACCAATTTCTAAAACTTGAACCGTCAGTTAATATAGGATACAATTATGATATATGCCGTTTGAGCTCTGCCTTTATATTATCATTTCGAACGTGGTAAATAAAATATATGCACAAAACCTAAAAATTGAGCGTGGTATGAAAATCTATTATTCGGTTCACACTAGTTGAGAAAAAAACCCCGTATATTTCGAATCAAATGATCGATAAAAATGTGATATTATCACGTATAATATTGCCTTTTGGAAGTTTATATATGAATAAGGGTTATGAGAATTTCGGAAAAGGATATATAGTGATGGGTATTTTCAATAGATCCCGAAGCAAGGTCATGTGCGTTGTGTTTGCCGTTGGAAAGCGATGGAGTTATAGACATAGCCATCTCTCTCTCTCTCTCTCTCTCTCTCTCTCTCTATCTCTCTCCCCTTTTTCTTTCGAGTATTGAGTTTGGTGAACTTCTTTTCATCTTTTGAGACGATGGATTTCTTTATGAACAAGTTGCGATGTCAATACGATATTTTTATAAAAGCAGATAGGAATTTTTCTTCTTTTTTTTAAAAAAAAATTTAAATGTAATTTCTTCTTGATTAGTGCGAAAAAAAAGAAAGGAACTAAACCCTAAACAGTTCAAAATGAGTAATTAATATTCCGAGCCTATATTGCGTTAAAAACCCTTGATAAGATGTTTAGTCACGCAAAATAAATAATATATCAACTACAATTGACTACAGAATTTTAAATAACTTAATAAAATAGTTAACTTCTTTAATTTGACTCTAATTAATATGAGGTACAAAAAAGTGAATTTGACTATAATCTTGCTTAATAAAATATTAAAATCTAGTTAATAAATGTGTGTGTGTGTGTATTCTATCAAAAAACTGTGCCAAATCTAACCTATATAAAATCCAGTCCAAATAAAAATATAATAGTTAGAGTGTAATACACAGCAGCAACAACAATAATTAGAGTTTTCTAAAATTTAAAAAAAAAACACACATAAAGAATGCAGATCTCTCATGTTAAATACCAAAGATATGAGTATGGCCCACAGATGTGTGCAGGCACGTGCACGAAGAATTTAATTAGGCGAGAAGAAAAAAAAAACATCAAAATCATAAATTACTGAAGAAGACATCGACATTGGAGTTATCTTTTGAACCTTTGATTTCTCCGACACTGTGAGGCTACGTGACAACACTGTGTACTTTACAAGCAGTTAAAGTACCATTTTGCCCTAACACTCATCATCTCATCATCACTATTCAAACAATCCCATTTATTATTATTATTGTTATTGGTGGATGAGAAAATCATATAGAGATTGTGAACTGTGTTTTCGAGGGCTTAGAAATCCGACAGTCTCTTTCGTTATGCCTCATTCGGAGAGTGAAATGATTAGCAAACCGGTTTAGTTCGGTTAAGTCCATATATCCGGTCCGGTTTGGACCAGATAACCGGATAATTACCATCAAACTGTTCTACGTAACTCCATCTCAAGAGTGCATGATCTGTTCTGGTTTTTCAGACACAAACAGTCTCAACTGAGGATGGTATTACAAACAGACACAAATCATTAATCTATATATCCAAATGAGAGAGCGATTGATATATCTGGATTACGAATGCAGAATTACGTAATTCGACACGAAGAATAGAATCCGACCCAGTTATTATAAGTTGAATTTAAAACAAAAACAGAGCCGTGGAGAGAGGAAAAAAAAACATTTCATATGGAAACACAAAACGGTATATTATACATCAATGGTTGAGATCGAATTAGGTAGATCCAAAGGTGTGGATTGTTTTATCAGACTGACGGCCCGACATATCTTCGGCCCGAAACTTCGATGCCTAGTTAATTCAAAGGATAAAAAAAAAATTAGGGTTAGGGTTCTCGAGTTTTGGTGGACAACATGAACTTGGCCGGTGATACCCAGAAGAAGAATCGGATTCAGGTTTCAAACACCAAGAAGCCATTGCTCTTCTACGTCCATCTCGCTAAGGTAACAACCTGCTACGTCCATTTTGGACTAAATCTGTCGTAAAAGTTTTGATTTTGTCACGTGGGTCGATCTATTGTTCCTCTGTCCTTATTATGTAAGAGCGTGATAAAACCATTTTGTAGGTTGATTTAGGTGGCTCGGAGAGATTTATCTTGATATTAGTGCTTGAAGGGCTTTCGACTTATGAAAATATTAATTATAACATTTCACTGTTTCAGTGTTTTTTTTTGTATCGTTTTCTACGTGCGGATATGTGATTCTTTCCCATGTCTTGATACATTTGGTGTGTGTATTCATCCCATAGATCGGTTTAGCTATTGTTAGTGTCGCTGAAATCTTGAAGGAATTTGCTGTTGAGAAGAGTTAATTAGATCTTCTACTGTTCAGAAAACTATATATATATATATATGATACATATAGATATATATAGTTTCTTGTTATCCAATTCATCATCCACTGCTTGAAAACACAAAAAAAGAGATTTTTGCAATGACCCTTTTCATGATTTTCGGTTTTCAAGTTACAGATTTTGACATCAAGCTCGGGTTTAGAAGCTCAAGAACAGAGCTACATATACTGGATGGTAATTTTTGTACCTGCGAACTTTTTTTTTGTGTAAGGATCATAGGAGCAGATTATATTGTTTTTACACGCTCTATCATTGCATTTGCGTTCTCTTGCTCTCCCTAAGAAGAATGCATCATGTTATGCTTGTTGTTTGCATGTGGAATCCAAGTTGTAGTTTAAGAGATACCAAGTGATGATGATTATGTAATTATCCCAAAGAAAATGTATATGCATTTGTAATTACAATTGGATTTTTGGTTCTTGGTTCTTGGTTACAGAGCTCCTTGGTTCTTGAAATTTGAGTGATATGAAAATAAGGACGGACAGTTGGATTCACTTTATAATTTAAAAACAAATCAAATATTAACTGTTAAATTCTTTCTAAATTCAAAATAAAAGATTGCGCAACTAATCTAAATTAAATATTTAAATAACAAAAAAATCAAAATAAAACAAAGTTTTTATTAAAAAAATAAATAGTCTTAATAAAAACAAAACGAAATCAAATTCAAACCGAGTTGAATCCAATATAAAATATAAAGATGGAATAGATACAGTTTTTTATTTTTCTTTCAAAATCTAAAAACCTAATATATAACTATCACTTTAAATATCCACCCAATGGATTGTGCTTATTTAAATCTATTTTAATAACAAATGGGTCAAATTGAGCTACAATTGGAGAAACTTAAAACAGTAAACCAAATTCATTTTTAGATGAATATTGAAAATGATGGACCTGTGAATGGGCCTAAAAGTCTAGCTTATATGACTCTCATATCATATGCGTCGGTCCACACTCCACATGCAACACATCAAATTGGAAACATATAAAATAAAGCCTACTACAAAGCCATGTCACGATTGTTTGTGTAATTACTTGTATTTATTCTTTTCTTTTTTTCTTTTTAGCTTTCATGGTCATATCTTAGTCATGTCATATAAGCAAAATCCTGTAATCATAACCAAGGTCAAAGCAAAAAAAAAAAAGGAAAAAATTAAAAGACAAAATGCGGACAAGAAGGAGGGACCAGTTCAAAGTATTTGCCCTTGTCTTGTGATAATCATCCTAAATAAGTATCTCTATTTAAGTATTTAATTCTAATTACAATCCAAACGTACAATTTTTTTTACATAAGAATCTATCATTTATGATTACTAGTCTTTAATCAAAACGGTCAAAAAGCAATTAACCAGGGTTTGTTTGAAAAAAGTAGTTCGCATTAAATACTTAAAATAGGTAGGATTAAAATATCTAAAAAATGTAATTATATACTTATAACAGTTAAAATTGCTGTTATATTTACAAGGAGCTCCATAATTTAAGATATAATCTAACTATAGATTTTATGAACGTTAGTATTATTATAAATTTCTATATTTTTCAAACGGCAGCTCTGAAAATATTGTGCCATTTGGATAACATGTAGGTTGGCGTTTAACCTTTTTTTGTCATATGTCGTTTTTCTTTTCAACAATTAAACTCGTATATATATATATATATATATATAACAAAAAGAATAAACTACATCACTAATTTAACACAATCTCAATTTAAAATTAAATTGATTAGCATGAACCAAGATACGCATTAAAGATCCTGAGCTGTAAAGTAAAAACTTATTAATGACGTAAATTATTAAATATTATTAACACCAAACCAAAAAAAAGAACAGAGCAGCAACGGTAATATTCAGTTTGGCAGTTCCTTAAGGGGTGTTTTCGTCAACTCACAAAAATACAACGGCCCTTTTTTCAAACCCTCCTTTTGTATATATACATATATACATACACACGCACACACATCATCACTCCACTATCTAAAGGTCTCTCTGCCTGGGCGGTAACTCCGAAACCATCTTTTTCTCTGTCTCACGCCTTTTCTCCTTCTCGCTTTTTTGGTTGAATCACGCTTTTTTCTCCTTCTCATTCATTCCTTCAGATTCATCAGATCCCGCTTTCGTGAAAATTTTCTGATTCTCAGACGATTCTCCAGTGACCCTTCTCTTTGATTAATCGGAAAACTCCAAAGTACAGATTTTTTGTTGTAAGAAGCAGAGAAAGAAGAAGATTTGTGTTCTGAATCATGGAACCAGTGAAGCCGGAGGAGATGTCTCATCCTCCAATGGATCAACTTCAGGGTTTAGAGTATTGTATTGACTCAAACCCTTCATGGGGTATGCCCTTCTCTCTCATTACCAATCTTGCTACTCTTCCTTTTGATTATCTCCTGCCCTGAGGTGGAAGGAAACAGATGGAACTTGTTCCATTGATGCCGATGTTATAATGATTTCTTGTTGATTAGCTCTTCTCTGCGTGTTCTTGATGCAGGGGAAGCTATAGCTTTAGGATTTCAGCATTACATTCTTTCCCTCGGAACTGCAGTGATGATCCCATCGTTTCTTGTTCCTCTGATGGGCGGTGACTATGTGAGGAAATTTTCTTTTCCTTTTCTTCAATTCCCCAAGTTTCTATCTATTATGTTCAAGAATCTGTAATGGGTATTGATAAAGATAGATGCTTTCGAATGATTAGGGTGATAAAGTGAGAGTGGTTCAGACATTGTTGTTCCTCCAAGGTGTTAATACCCTTCTCCAGACCTTATTCGGAACCCGTCTTCCAACCATCATTGGAGGTTCTTTCGCGTTCATGGTTCCGATCGTTTCGATAATCCATGATTCTAGATTCACCCGTATCGAGGATCCACACTTGGTTAGTGGCAGATTTCTGGAGTTCGTTTCTTGAATCCCTTCGTTTAGTTCATCATGTTTCTTCATGGCTGGATTTCGTTTTGAACAACCATATACAGAGATTTCTCAGTACGATGAGGGCGGTACAAGGCGCCGTCATTGTTGCCTCCAGTGTTCAAATCATTCTTGGTTTTAGCCAGATGTGGGCAATTTGTTCTAGGTATATATACACACATATATATATATATATATATGCATGTGTTTTCTTGTGTTCAATATCGGATTCTTCACATTACAGGGATCAAAGCTTCTGACTTCTCTCTCTCTCTGTGTCTCAGGTTCTTTAGTCCGCTTGGAATGGTTCCAGTTATTGCATTAACGGGTTTCGGCCTCTTTGACAGAGGATTCCCATGGGTACAAGCTCAATATTCTATTACATTTCAGTTTCTTACATTCTTGAAAGATCCGAAACCATGGTTCCGTTCTTTAACAGCATATTGTTTCGGATTTTGTTTTTGTCAGGTTGGACACTGTGTTGAAATCGGAATTCCCATGTTTATCCTCTTCATCGCCTTCTCACAGGTGAATCTTGTAGCCAATTCTCTTTCTCATCATTATCCAGTATCAAACATTCAAACAATGCTTTCTAACCAAATGCGTCTTGTTCTTGTGCAGTATCTGAAGAACTTTCAGTTCAGACAGCTGCCGATACTGGAGAGATTTGCCCTTCTTATATCGATATCCATCGTCTGGGCTTACGCACACCTATTGACAGCCTCTGGGGCTTACAAACACCGACCAGTACTGACCCAAGAAAACTGCCGAACTGATAAGTCCAACCTGATTTCCTCTGCTCCTTGGTCAGTACCCTGAATTTTGATTTTGCTTCTATCCTCATTGAAACGTTACAATTGATCGAAAACTTTCGATGTCTCTTGGATTATATTAGGATAAAGATTCCATACCCACTTCAATGGGGAGCACCAACCTTCGATGCTGGCCATGCTTTCGGAATGATGGCTGCAGTTCTTGTTTCGCTCATCGAGGTATAATAATATCTTCCTCCAATCTTCCTTATGGCTGAAAGATTCTGATGAAAAATGTTAACTTTCATTCCATTTTCCGTTTGTGACAGTCAACTGGAGCTTTCAAGGCTGCATCCCGGCTGGCGAGTGCCACTCCTCCTCCACCTCATGTCCTTAGCCGTGGAATCGGATGGCAAGGCATCGGTATACTCTTGAACGGGTTATTTGGAACGTTAACCGGTTCAGGAATCTCTGTGTAAGAAATCCGAGCATTACCCTTTGCTTTTTCCGAGCATTTTCTCTGCATATGAACCACTTTTTCATGGGTTTTTACCACTCAACAGAGAGAACATTGGCCTGCTGGGAAGCACCCGAGTTGGAAGCAGAAGAGTTATTCAAATCTCGGCTGGTTTCATGATATTCTTCTCGATCCTTGGCAAATTCGGGGCATTGTTTGCTTCGATACCTTTCACGATCTTCGCAGCTGTTCATTGTGTCATGTTTGGTCTTGTCGGTCAGTACATCATTTCAGCAACTCCTTTCTCCATTGTTCCTTCTTACAAGACAGAGATTGCAGTGTTTTGAACTAAAGCTTGTTGCTTTTTCTGTTCTGTTTATTCTTCTCAGGTTCTGTCGGTCTGTCCTTTCTACAGTTCACAAACATGAACTCCATGAGAAACCTCTTCATCGTCGGTGTCTCCCTCTTCTTAGGACTGTCGATTCCCGACTACTTCCGGGAATTCACTGCAAAATCCTTCCATGGTCCTGCTCATACCAATGCCGGTTGGGTAAATGCTCGGATTCTAACCCGAAACCTTTTTTCATTTCCTCTTCCTCTGATGAACACAAATATAACTTCAGAACCGCTTGCTTCTTTTTTGGTGGCAGTTCAATGATTTCTTGAATACAATCTTCTTCTCGTCGCCTACAGTGGCGCTAATCACGGCTGTGTTTTTGGACAACACATTGGAATACAAACACAGTGCCAGAGACAGAGGGTTGCCATGGTGGGCGAAGTTCCGTACCTTCAAAGGAGATAGCCGAAATGAAGAATTCTACACTCTCCCTTTCAACCTCAACAGATTTTTCCCTCCTTCGTGAACTTATTACTAAATCTTCGTAGTTCAGTCATCTTTGTACTTGACTGAATGGAGATTTATCAGTTCTTTTTTTTTTGCCTGTGTTCATTATTTTTTATCTAATAGAATCCCGATTAGATGAACAAAGAGAACATATATGTACATCTGGTGAGATTCACAGAGTGAGTTGAGGGTGTGTTCTTACCGGATTTACACATGCATTCGGGACATCTCGGCTGACGAACAGAAGATGTTCTCTCGTCTATGATTTTGAACATTGTAGGCTACAGAAGCAGATGAAAACACGCATGGTATGAGTATACATATACACACACATGCATGTAGCAGCAATCTCTATAGCTGTGAAGTTCTTCAAATCAAAATCAAACTGAAGCTGGATAACTCCAGCTTTGGAGAAAATCTCAGATGCCAAACAGCGTTTCAGGTTGCAAGTTTCTGACACAGTTTGGTTACAAGTAATGAGTTAGTTTCATGGGTAGTTTACCTGAGAAGAGAAGTTCTTGAAAGGTGCAAGCTCATCGGATCAGTTCCTTGGGGAAAGCATAAGGGGGGCCTCCCTCCCTAAATTTCAGAGCTCGCCATATATATATTGTAAGTTTCCGTTCTTGAAGCCAAGTCCGGAAAGAACCAGAGTTGAAAAGGAACATGGTCTTGTCGGTCCGGTATAAGCTTGAAGCTCTTTCTGTTCTATTTATGAGTAATCTTTAGAAACCACTGTCCAAAGGAACAGATTGGTTTTTCTCCACTTCAAAAACTCAATCTTCTAATGACAACAACAACAACAAGATAAAATCACAAACAGAAAACAGAAGATCCAATTCAAACCTCTTCCCAAGTGGTGTTATGTCGCAGATGCTGTCTGAGGTGAAACCCTGAAACCATTAGAGGATCAAGGAAGAAATTATAACAAACCCCTTTTGGAGAAATCATGGTTCAATCCTTCCACAGACGACTAGACGAGATCGTGGAACTCCATTCACTATCATTTCCATAGGATCATTACCCGGGCCACCATCAAAATTTATCATCCCCAAATGACTATCCCTTGTTTCCCCATAACGTATCACACTCGATACACCGAAATTCGTCAGAAAAGATTCGACCTTTGTATCATAGAGGATAAGGAATCGGCTAAAATTTTGACTGGGTAGGCTAAATATGTGAAAGATCTTAGCTTTTGCATCCCAAGGAGATTTCAATCGAGTTCCAGTGACGCTAGCAAAAACTTGGTGGGAATGGCATAATTTCTTGTGAGATAGTGTAATCGGAGGAGTAAAACGCAAGGCGAAAGGCATGGAAATTCGGAATTAGAACGACGATAACACTACCCTTGGTGAAGTTTACCCAACCTCAACCGCTGAAATGGGGACGCAAAGCCTATCTCCCTCTCCCGTCCTGAATTCGATCAAAATTTGGGAAAGAAGTGTAATTTTAATCATATTGCTTGCCCTCAATCCCGAAATCAGTATGGACTTCGGCACATAATAACCGATTGCCCAGAAAAAAAAAAACCTTGGTGAAGATGGGTTCGTCTTCGTCCCCTGACTCCCCTCTCGTTCTTTGCCGTATCGTCGGGAACTTAAGAATCACTCCCCTCATTATTTTATCGTTCCAATTTGACCCCTTAAGTTTAAAATAAGCAACTCTTCCCCCCCGCCAAAAAAAAAGTCATTTACCGACGGAACTTGTGACTTGATTATTTTGCACTATCAAAACACAAACTAAATCATTATCTATATTTCGACTAATATAAGTGATAACAAAATCAGCAAATCCGTTGTAGTCTAGGTGGTTAGGATACTCGGCTCTCACCCGAGAGACCCGGGTTCAAGTCCCGGCAACGGAATTACTGTTTTTCATTAAATACCTTTTTTTAAAAAAATTCTAGCCCATTTTTCATCATATATCGTTGAGGTTATCATCGTCATTTAATCTCCTCCCATGGATTGAAAACCAAACCCCTACTACTCTCTCTATCGTATACGCAATTACGCATGGTTTTTGGTAATCCCATTTTTCATTATATATATATATATATATATATATATATGTGTGTATGTGTGTGTGTGTGTGTTAGGAACATTAAGTTTCGAATATTAATTAATATTTCAATTTATCAGCAAAGCCATATGGTTTCAAACGGTCACAAGCCCTACATTATGCGGTTTTAACCCTAATAACCCACTTGGGTCGCAGCAATTTCATGGTACACCACCGAAAAAAAAAAAAAATTTACGACCTTATTACGACTAATATATAACTAATATACAACTAAAATAAGAGTAGTTTATTAGTCGTAATAAGTTGTATATTAGTTATATATTAGTCGTAATAAGGTCGCAAAAATTTTTTTTTTTTCGGTGGTGTATACTGAAATTGCTGCGACCCAAGTGGGTTATTTGAGTAATATTCCCCTACATTATTTTGTCATGTATATGGTGAGGAGTCACAATCCCTACTGTTTGGTTAGGTTAGTGGTCATCCATCATTACAAAGATTTCATATTCACCTAACTTACCATATTTTTTCTAAACTCCAATCATTTTATTATATATATATATATATGTATATATTATGCTTTTGCCTTTTAATGATTGCTCCTTCGATCCTATACCCCACGTAGAATCTTTTTCATGTGATAATTTCATATAGGAATTTGATGTGTGAAAAAATAAAATGGAAATGATCAAAATCTCATTATCATCTAAGATTAGAAGCAATGGTATGAGCCCACCGTCGAAGACTCTCCTTCATATCGATATCACTACATTCCTTAGCAACTCTCAAATCCAAAACCATCGTCCATTCATCAATCTCTCTTCTTCTCCAGTCCCATGACTCTGACAAATACGTACGGCCTTGGAATCTCCGACCGCTTTTCTTGTCTCCCAAGAAATCCTTGCAAGCCGGGAAGAATCTCGACCAGCTCAGAATTCACGCTTTCCTCCTTGAAAGCAAACCCTAAATCCATGAACCCTTTAAGCTCTTCGGATTCTAGTTCCGACGCGCTCTTGCTCGTTTCGCTTCTTCCCCTTAATCCTTTCGTCCTTCTTCGTGCACTCCTGTTTTCTTCTGTTTCTTTCCCGGGAAAAACGGATCCGTGAAGCAGAACTCTGTCTGGTGATGAAGAATCGTATATTCTTGATCTCTCATTTCTCGATGGTGTACCGATTGATGGATTTTCTCGTGGTCCTGACACGATTTCTTCGGTTTTATCATCTGGGTTTGCTGTGAAATTCGATGGGGACAACGAATTCCATCGGTTCTTGAAGATTTTCCGTTCGAACCAACAAGAATCAAAGAGGTTTAGGGTTTCTTGGACATTCATATATATATAACAATGGCGGGTCTCAGAAGAGAAATCTTTGGAGAGTTGATGAAGACGGATACTTGTCTTTGATTGTATTTATACGCTCATTCACACGCGCGTAGTGTTATTAAATATTTGTTTATTTTTGACGTACCATACCTCATTCCATTTGTTGCACGTTTTTCATTGTGCACTTCTTATTGTTTAGTAATAATAACTTTTTTTTCGCCGTAAATTATATAATTTCAGTTACCGTGTGTACGGGCTTCCTACGACGACACGCTTCACAAATAGAAAAATATTTAATTTAATTTCTTTTTTGGTTAAAAATTATATAATTTCTTGGATTCAGTCATGAACCAAATTTATAAAACAAAAGTCCAATTATACAACGATCGTTATGAATTATAATTAAAAAAAAAACATTGGAACCATACATAACATGTTACGTTCACACTTCATTAAATTATATGACATTAAATGTGTTTGATATTATTGAATTCTAAGGCAATAAATGTGTTTTATTATTGAATATCCATAAATATTTAAAAATGATTTTCTTTTATTTCTTTTTTTTGCCATTTTTTCCACATAGATATAATATATTCTCATTAGTGTTACTTAATTTGAAATGAAAAATATTGGGTAACCGGATTCGAGTCAGTTATAGCAAATAGATTACTGGATGAAAATTTTATAATATTTACGATTAAACTCTCGTTGTAGAAAATGTTATTTCACGATTTGGAGAAAACATAATATTATATATATACATATATAATGATTTTAAAATAAGAAACTTTAAAATGTAGAAAAATAAATTATATACAAAATTGATTGTTTTACTGATTTTTAAGCAAAACCCTAATAGTTATATGCCTTGGACTTCTAATCACCTAATTTGGAATTAATAATAAAAAAAAGATTAATGCTTGAGAGGGCACGTGACTCACGGATTATTTGTGATACGCGTAGTCTCAAGAACTAAACCAAAAAAGAAACCTTAACAGCGGATTTCATCAACATTAATCTACTGGTCAGACGTAGAGAAGGACTTTTGACATTAAGTATATATATATATAAAAAAAGAAAATATGAAGTGCCTATATATATATATATAAAGAAAATATGAAGTGTCTATATATATATATCATTAATTTGACATGTACTAACCAAAGGAACTTTCAAAAGACCAAAGTTTCCACATTACTTTTTGCCTTAGCGGACACGAGCAAGCAAATACAAATTATACATACATATACATATACATATATATATATATATATATGTGTGTGTGTGTGTCAATTAATTACAGTTTCTAAAAAATAATGAGATATTTTTGTTTGGATGTTTCCGTAGTGTGTGTATGTATACGTATACGCATACATTACCTTTTGTCTTATGATATAGACAATGTATGTTATACATACTACATATTCACACATGCATATATATATATATTCGACTGCATGTGTATATAGCATATTCGGCGGTACGTCCCAAAAATCGAAATTAAATCCTTCGAAGATAAGCTTTTTTTATATATATGAAAGGATAATATTGTTTTTAATACAGTTACCGAATAAATGAACACACATAATTATTAAATTCCAATTGGAGAATATGAAATAAATTAAGCATTCTGAGAAATGAGAAAGTCAGAGAGGCCATAATTATTGGTATATTATTTTGTTTACATTTACAAAATTGCATAATAATTTAGTCCTAATAATTAATCTTTATATATTGTATAATTAGCTGGCCCAAATCGTAGATATATTAAATACTGCTCAGTTATTTTTTTTTATTAGCCCCGTTGCCGCACTCATCATTTGAGATATAGTCCAATGGAAAAAATCAACAGATTAAACTATTTATAAAATTTACCCCAAAAAAACTATTTATAAAACTCTTGACGTGTCAAATTGGCCAATTGGGTTGTTTCTTCATTTCATATTGAATGGAGAGACAATGAAGTGCAATAAATTACCAAGTCAAACACGTAATCGTATTAAAATAATTTTTTATAGTCGCTATTATTTGTGATATTAATTAATTGGAAAAATAAAAGAAAGATAGTTATATAATAACTACTTGTCTACTAAATTATGTAGATGGAATCGGGTCGTTTTTAAAATTCGTAATCACGAGATATTTATATAATTGATTAAATAATGAAACATACATGTTTCAGCATAAGCAGGGATTTATTTGCTTCATCATCGAGTATAACTTCAATTAATTCAAAGTTCCTATCAGTAAGAGTAGTGGAAAATATTTCATCGAAATTCAAACTTGAAAGTTTTGCAATTTGTTATAGTGTCACAGGCCATACATGCGATCACACACAGATACATATTATACATATACAACACACACACACACACACACATATATATATATATATGTATATGTATATATATATATATATAATCATCAACGAAATGATAATAACTATGCTTTCTTCCAAAAATCAAAAAACAAAATAAAGCCCCGTTGCTTTTGGCAAAGGAAAAGGTCGATTGAAAATATAATATTGGCAAACCGTTTTGGCTCCTACTTTTGAGTGCAACTTATCAGGGTGCTTCGGATTATGCACACATGCTGCATATATAAATACCACATAAATTCATATAATACATATATATAACTCCATTTCGGAAGTTGGTTGTTATATATATACATATATGGTTTTTTTGGTTGAGATATATATATATGGTTCCATATTTCCAAAGATTAAAAATGAGATTTTTCAGTGATTCTTATTGTTATTCACCTTCATAGAGTTTTGGACTCAAACTATATATATATTGTAAAACATTTATACGTATGATGAGTGAATATCTTTAAAAAAAACTGAAGTACAAAAAGAATGAATATGAATGGTTTATCAAATCCCGTTTAGTGATAAAATTTTCATATATAATGGCCGATATATGAACAGGAAATTCACTTTAGATAATTTTCTTTAATTCGTCTTTAAATTTGAAATACTTCAATATGCGTGAAAAGAACCCTAGTTTCTGACTCAACACCACAGCTCTGCACACCTAATCATATTCCAATCATTTTAAATAATAATTATTTAAGACATTGGGGAATATGCCAAAAGAAAACAAGTTTCTATATAATATACCTAACCCCATCTTTTATATACATAATAATTTAAACAAAAGGGTGTGATCATATGTAACGATCGGATTATTGACAAATAAAATATTACGGGACCACTCTTGGAAATGTTATGATATAAACAAAGCATCCCAAGATATTATATATCTTTTTTTTTCTATTAATTAGTAAATATTAAATAAAAATGATAGAGATTAATTAAATTCACAAATGCCTGCACGTCCCCTTTCAAGCACAGCCCTCTTCTTCTCCACCTTCTCTCTCTCTCTCTCTCTATACATATTCTTCTGCAAATATACCTTCCTAAGGCGATCGATATCACGATACTTATTCACAAATTATCCGATCCTTCATATCTTATATCTTAATTCTTGTTTTTTTTTTGCGGATGAAATAGTGATATATATAATTGAGCATATATATATGAAACGAGTTCTGGAGATGGAGAGATCGAGCTTCAGCGAAAGCAGCCAAGAAACCGGACCGGAATCGCCTGTTTCTTTCAACTTTAACGACATGAAAGTCGTCTCGTCTCCTTCACCTAAACGAAGGTACGTAACCTTAACTTTGATTTATTCAAAAAAAAAAAAAAAAAAACTTTGATTTCAGCAAACCCTTTTAATTTCACTACCATACTTTCAACTAAATCTCTAACCGTAAAGTCCATAAAGATTGTTCCTTTGACCCAAAAAAGAGCCGAATTTTCCAAGCAAGAGATCGATCTAGTTCAGTTTCTTTCTTCCGACACATTTTCTAGTTTGATTCAATCGTGATTATCGTGTATGGTCTTCGTGATTGTCACAGTAAAAGATCCGTGCAAAAGAGAGTAGTGACCGTACCGATCAAGGACGTGGAAAGATCTAGGTTAAAAGGCGACACAACTCCGCCGTCAGATTCATGGGCTTGGAGAAAGTACGGCCAAAAACCCATAAAGGGTTCTCCGTACCCCAGGTACACATACATACATACATATATCATATAAATTATATCTCTTTCGATGTGTATACTACAAGATCATCCAAGAATTGGTCGGTATCAATATGATTTTGTCTTTGTTCGGACAGGGGGTATTACCGGTGTAGTAGTTCCAAGGGATGTCCGGGGAAGAAACAAGTGGAGAGAAGCCGAGACGATCCGACCATGATCCTCGTCACTTACACGTCTGAACACAACCACTCTTGCCCCACTTCTAAAATCCGCCCTAATAAACACTACCCTAAACCCGAATCCGAATCCGGAACCGGACCCGGATCAGAGAATGGTCATCACAGTGAGCTCCTGGATCTTGGGGAGATGGAAACGACGCCGTCGTGCGTGGACGAGTTCGCATGGTTCAGTGAGATGGAAACGACGTCGTCCACTATTCTAGAGAGCCCCATGTTCTCTTGTTCGACGGAGAAGAACAACGTGGACATGCCGGTGTCGGAAAATGCTGACGTGGCGATGTTTTTCCCCATGCGGGAAGAGGACGAGTCTCTCTTCGCCGATCTCGGCGAGTTGCCGGAATGTTCAGCGGTTTTCCGGCGCCGGAGTTTGGAGATATGCTGACACGTGGCGGTTTTCCTTGGAAGAGGCTTTTCCCT